TATTCAATCGCGAATATCTCGTAAACTAAAAGAGATAAATAAGATCTGATCGCAGCGTCTTAATCTACTGAATTTTCTCTATAAGATAGGATAGTTAAAAGGGAAATTTGAGAGAATTAATTTTAAGTCTTAAGAAAAAAATTGCCAAGGGGGGGGTGTTTGATACTTTTTTTCGACGATTTTCAAAAATTCATAGCTCTTAAACTAAAAGAGATAGATACCAACGAATTGTTGATTATGAAAGATTGGAAAATTCTCAATCAGATAAAAATATAAAATAATTATATTTCCTACAGTAAAAGGTCGAAAAATGCGACTAAAAGTGCTAAAAAGTGATATTTTGCAATTTTTGCCCATTTTATTCAATCGCGAATATCTCGTAAACTAAAAGAGATAAATAAGATCTGATCGCAGCGTCTTAATCTACTGAATTTTCTCTATAAGATAGGATAGTTAAAAGGGAAATTTGAGAGAAAAAATTTTAAGTCTTAAGAAAAATTGCCAAGGGGGTGTTTGATACTTTTTTTCGACGATTTTCAAAAATTCATAGCTCTTAAACTAAAAGAGATAGATACCAACGAATTGTTGATTATGAAAGATTGGAAAATTCTCAATCAGATAAAAATATAAAATAATTATATTTCCTACAGTAAAAGGTCAAAAAACGCGACTAAAAGTGCTAAAAAGTGATATTTTGCAATTTTTGCCCATTTTATTCAATCGCGAATATCTCTAAAACTAAAAGAGATAAATAAGATCTGATCGCAGCGTCTTAATCTACTGAATTTTCTCTATAAGATAGGATAGTTAAAAGGGAAATTTGAGAGAAAAAATTTTAAGTCTTAAGAAAAAAATTGCCAAGGGGGGGTGTTTGATACTTTTTTTCGACGATTTTCAAAAATTCATAGCTCTTAAACTAAAAGAGATAGATACCAACGAATTATTGATTATGAAAGATTGGAAAATTCTCAATCAGATAAAAATATAAAATAATTATATTTCCTACAGTAAAAGGTCGAAAAACGCGACTAAAAGTGCTAAAAAGTGATATTTTGCAATTTTTGCCCATTTTATTCAATCGCGAATATCTCGTAAACTAAAAGAGATAAATAAGATCTGATCGCAGCGTCTTAATCTACTGAATTTTCTCTATAAGATAGGATAGTTAAAAGGGAAATTTGAGAGAAAAAATTTTAAGTCTTAAGAAAAAATTGCCAAGGGGGGGTGTTTGATACTTTTTTTCGACGATTTTCAAAAATTCATAGCTCTTAAACTAAAAGAGATAGATACCAGCGAATTATTGATTATGAAAGATTGGAAAATTCTCAATCAGATAAAAATATAAAATAATAATATTTCCTACAGTAAAAGGTCGAAAAACGCGACTAAAAGTGCTAAAAAGTGACATTTTGCAATTTTTGCCCATTTTATTCAATCGCGAATATCTCGTAAACTAAAAGAGATAAATAAGATCTGATCGCAGCGTCTTAATCTACTGAATTTTCTCTATAAGATAGGATAGTTAAAAGGGAAATTTGAGAGAAAAAATTTTAAGTCTTAAGAAAAAAATTGCCAAGGGGGGGTGTTTGATACTTTTTTTCGACGATTTTCAAAAATTCATAGCTCTTAAACTAAAAGAGATAGATACCAACGAATTGTTGATTATGAAAGATTGGAAAATTCTGAATCAGATAAAAATATAAAATAATTATATTTCCTACAGTAAAAGGTCAAAAAACGCGACTAAAAGTGCTAAAAAGTGATATTTTGCAATTTTTGCCCATTTTATTCAATCGCGAATATCTCGTAAACTAAAAGAGATAAATAAGATCTGATCGCAGCGTCTTAATCTACTGAATTTTCTCTATAAGATAGGATAGTTAAAAGGGAAATTTGAGAGAAAAAATTTTAAGTCTTAAGAAAAAAATTTCCAAGGGGGGGTGCTTGATACTTTTTTTCGACGATTTTCAAAAATTCATAGCTCTTAAACTAAAAGAGATAGATACCAACGAATTGTTGATTATGAAAGATTGGAAAATTCTCAATCAGATAAAAATATAAAATAATTATATTTCCTACAGTAAAAGGTCGAAAAACGCGACTAAAAGTGCTAAAAGTGATATTTTGCAATTTTGCCCATTTTATTCAATCGCGAATATCTCGTAAACTAAAAGAGATAAATAAGATCTGATCGCAGCGTCTTAATCTACTGAATTTTCTCTATAAGATAGGATAGTTAAAAGGGAAATTTGAGAGAATTAATTTTAAGTCTTAAGAAAAAAATTGCCAAGGGGGGGTGTTTGATACTTTTTTTCGACGATTTTCAAAAATTCATAGCTCTTAAACTAAAAGAGATAGATACCAACGAATTGTTGATTATGAAAGATTGGAAAATTCTCAATCAGATAAAAATATAAAATAATTATATTTCCTACAGTAAAAGGTCGAAAAACGCGACTAAAAGTGCTAAAAAGTGATATTTTGCAATTTTTGCCCATTTTATTCAATCGCGAATATCTCGTAAACTAAAAGAGATAAATAAGATCTGATCGCAGCGTCTTAATCTACTGAATTTTCTCTATAAGATAGGATAGTTAAAAGGGAAATTTGAGAGAAAAAATTTTAAGTCTTAAGAAAAAAATTGCCAAGGGGGGGCGCTTGATACTTTTTTTCGACGATTTTCAAAAATTCATAGCTCTTAAACTAAAAGAGATAGATACCAACGAATTGTTGATTATGAAAGATTGGAAAATTCTCAATCAGATAAAAATATAAAATAATTATATTTCCTACAGTAAAAGGTCGAAAAACGCGACTAAAAGTGCTAAAAAGTGATATTTTGCAATTTTTGCCCATTTTATTCAATCGCGAATATCTCGTAAACTAAAAGAGATAAATAAGATCTGATCGCAGCGTCTTAATCTACTGAATTTTCTCTATAAGATAGGATAGTTAAAAGGGAAATTTGAGAGAAAAAATTTTAAGTCTTAAGAAAAAAATTGCCAAGGGGGGGTGCTTGATACTTTTTTCGACGATTTTCAAAATTCATAGCTCTTAAACTAAAAGAGATAGATACCAACGAATTGTTGATTATGAAAGATTGGAAAATTCTCAATCAGATAAAAATATAAAATAATTATATTTCCTACAGTAAAAGGTCGAAAAACGCGACTAAAAAAAAGTGCTAAAAAGTGATATTTTGCAATTTTTGCCCATTTTATTCAATCGCGAATATCTCATAAACTAAAAGAGGTAGAAAGGAACGAATCGCAGTCTTAATCTACGGGCAATTCTCTATAAAATAAGCTGATTAAATTGGAAATATAAGAGATAGAATTTTAAAGCCTAAGAAAAATTGACAAATGAGAGTCAGCTATACATTCATCCACATAAGGTGTCTAGATCCCGAGTCACTTCTATCAAAACCCTGCTACCAAATGAGAATCAACTATACAATTGCGATTAATTGCAATATAACTAAAGAAACAAGGAAAAATCAACGTTTTTGACATATTTGAGTAAATAAAAGACAATAGTGCATATCTTTTAAACTAAAAGCGATAGCGACCAACGGATTGAAAGTTATGAAAGATTTGAAAATTCTGCATTTGATATGAATTTAAAATAATTTAATTTTAAAGGACCAAAAACCTGACTAAAAGTGCAATTTTTCTTTTTTTTTGTCCTTTTTTAAATTGCCAATATCACAGGTAGTACAGGTAGGTAGTACGTGATAAATAGAAAACTTGTTTATAAACAGCAAATGTAAATTTGATCGAAAAATATAATTGAATTATAAACTTACCAGTGTACAGCTTATCGGACTTTCAGGCACAACGAGTGCTGTAACTAAACAAAAACATAAATTAAAACAACAATTATTCATACTCATAACATAATTTCATTTCAAAGCATAATTGAATTATGTTATTATTAACAATCAACACAAAATAAACAATCTGTACTGTTAGTTAATAGATACTTACACGAGCCTGATGGATCTTTCTTAATGATGTGAATCGACATGGTGGCGATATAAAATATATCCGGTTAATTTAACCGACACCAAACACAACGCCGAGTGAAGAATGTTATCAAATCCACTATCACGTGACTTGTAATATACATAACAAACGCGATCAAAAGCCGGCATTTCCGAACATTAAACAAATTACAATTGTCGCAAAGTACAAATAAATAGTCGATTGATCTTCGAGTATAACACAAATTTAGAATATTGAAGTCCGAATAAACGATATAAGACCGGCACGAAACTGGCTGCAATCTACCGATAGTGCATGCCGAAACTGCGTAAACAACGACGGGACAGTATATGATAAGAAAGCAAGAGGTGCGCAAAGCCGACGCGTCGACGGCACTCGACCTTGCGTGCGATTGCAGTATGCACGATAAATGCGATCAAAACCAAACGAGATTTACGCTGCATGCAGCGCGAGGAGACAGCGCGCGGAGACACATGCGATAAAAAGCATTGTATACAAAACTATTCTCGTGCCCACGTTTGTTGATAAATATAAACCGTATAACTCGATTTTACGATTTTTAGTGCATCCTAGTGCCATCTATGAATGTGACAGATACAAGTCCCACAATTTAGACTAATATAATCAATAATTAATGCTCCCAAGTGTTTCCACTTTTGTATGCAGTACATATTATCAATTAACATCTGGAGCGTCTTTTAAACTATAACATGGCCATTAGGAACTCTCAAAATGTGCATTAGTTAACGAGATACAGGCTGTTATCTAAGCCAACTTTTTGAAATGTGAAAATAATGTCGATTTTTAAGCCATTTTAAAGACACTTGTAGAAGGGTACGGAATATGAATCATTTTTAAACTTTTAAAAAAATCTGCAATTTTGAATTGAATAAAAAGTCAGGCATAATTTTAATTATAAATTATTATCTATTTCTATTATATCCTGTGAATAAGAAGGAACAGGATAATGAAGGTAAAAAAGACAATCACATTGCATGAAGTATAACAGCAGTTTATCAAGTAAACACAAAAATTGACATTTTCATAATTAATATTTATATAAAACATAAAAAGTCTGATATCTAACAAAATATTCCATAAAAAAAACTTCCCCTTTGCATAATCTGTCCGCCGTCGTGTCTCACAACGAAAGAAAGAAGTAAATTACATACAACGTGTGTGTCTGTGTGTGTGTGTGAGTGTGAGTGCGACGGTGTGTGCATGTGTGTCGATTGTTGTTAAAAATGTTTACAAATAAAAACCAGTTAACTAACAAACATATAAAAGTATACAAAAAAACCATATAAAAACAATAATATATAGTTACAAACATTTTCTAAAAATACATACAATTGAAATATAAAATAGTAGATGACCTATAAAATAAGCCACAATCAGGATTGATGATATATATATCTCTGGAACTATACACTCCCAATAAGCGATCATTTGTTTCCAAAAATTGTTTAATATCCTAACACAAACGCTCCGGCGTCCGCCCGCCCGCTGTGGGCGACGCCGCAATTTTGATTCGCGGTCAAACTAATTCGTCTAGGGGCGGTGCACGTGGTGCACGCTGGCGATAACAACAAAATACACTAAAAATCATCGTCCTGCCGAACGCGTCAATATCATACACATAGAGGATCACACGAAATTGCTTTAATCAATTGGTTTGTTTCACTCCCACCGGCATTGAATTGATATAGTTTCAGAAATATACTGATTAGTTCGTAGATTATCTAAAAAATATGTATAAAATTTGAGTAAAGATCATTATTACACGTGGTAGATTTATTTTTCAGGTCATCCGTAAATCTACGTTTTGGTGCTAGTGAAAATACCCCCAAAAAATGGTTGCGGGCACTTCCTATCGAATTTTTGTTGATTTTTTTTTTGTGTTTTTCATTTTAGCGTACGTTACTTGTTATGCTCTCGTTCTCATATCATATCATTCACGCATTAATTTAGATACAATAGTATAAGTGCCAGTCAGCGCGGAGGGTTCAACAACAAATAAGGTCATATCATATGAAACAATTGACTATCTCTACGTTCGGACGCGCGTCTCTCCGCACCCCGATATTGCACTAATGGTAACTACAGAATCCACATACAAATGTAATCGAACCAAAAAACCCATACGGCAACGAAAGAGAAAAGCTTCGCTTGCGTGCGTATGTAGAGTGTGTATAAGACCTTTGCTTCGAAAAAGTACTAGTCGTTTGTTTTAGTTTATAAAAAGTAAAAAATGTACAATAACGTGAAACTCTTGTTCTCAGATTCTTCATCTCGCGATACCGCCGCTTTCGATTACAATACTATCCAATAAGGTTAAACGTTAGAAACGAAACAATCATCGTGCGCGGCTGGTGCACACTTGTCTAAATATATTATTAAAAAACGGATAAAAAGTTCTTGTCCATAATAGTTGTTTAGTTTTAAAAATGACAAATCTACAGAATATGATACAGAGGCCGCCCAGGTGGGCGCGCCACGACATTCTCTATTTATATACTCGGGACACCCCGTCGGTCCACCCTGCTGCCCAGCCTTCATTCTCAACTCCGGACCATCGCATGCACAACACGCGCGCATCCAAGCAAAGTGTTTCGAACACAAATTTCATCGCAATCAAATGGTTTTCAACCAAAGTTCAATAATAAAAAATATTCAAGATGGCCGCGCGTATTATCCACGTGATTGTTTACAAATTCACCCGGAAGTTTGGACGGGTGGGGGGCGAGAGGGCCCGCATACAATCACGTCTACCTAATATATTCATATTTCAGTTTAACTACCGGTACCGGTAAATTACAAATTACATACAGTAGAAAAAGGAGTGTAAAATTTTACAAACCATAGCAATTAATTATTTATTTTGTACCATTTTTGCTAAATAGATGGTTCTCCACACGGCAGCGAGATATTTCCGCCGCTTTCTAACTCTTTCCAACCCCTTTTATTTTTTTTGTTTTGATTTAGCGTTGGACGATCTCGCGCCTTTCATATTCGTTATTCGTCGCGTCGCGTTTTTTTGTTAGTGTGTTTTTTTTTTTCATTTTCCCTGCGCTTCCTGGTCCGCGTCCAGATCGATATCCAGGTCTACCAGGTCATCAGAATTATAATACAATTAAGATAAAAATTCTATACGACGCGCGGCGAGGGTGGTGATGGTGGCGGCAGGGGTTGTGTATGTGTTGCGTCAACAAACACCCATGCGCACACCGCGCCCTCTGTCTTGCCCGCGCGTATGGTTATTGCACATATCGAAAAATTTGCCTAATCAACAGTTTAGTATAAAAATTCAAATTTAAAAAATACAAAGTCTTAGAATAGCCGATACTATATATCATTTTGTATGTATATATATAATTATGTATACAATATACATTTTTTTTTATCCGTGCAGTTTCGCAAATTGTGTTTGTTATTATTCTTACTTTTTTTCATTTTTTTATCTGTTTGTCAACGCCGCTACACGCGTTTTGTTGTTTGCTTAAGAGAATTCTCATATATATATATATTCAAATATTCAAAATGGTTCGCTGCTGCTGCGCGTGCGCGCCCGTCTAAGTTACATTTAATTCATAAATGACGACTATATTATCACACATGGAAAATAAAGTGTCAGCTAGGAGAGAATGAGAAATACGTGCGGTACACATAAGCGTTCGTTCGAGGAAAGAAGATTTTCGGGGTCAGGGTTATACAGATGCTGGGAGGAAAAAGGGGTAAGCGGTTACTTAGGGCTGGCCGGGCCGGTCAGGTACTCGGAAATATTATATGTGTATAGTTTCGTGAGGGGGTGGGAGATCTATCGCCACCCCCTCTTCGCATAGCTCGCTAGCTCGTCGCAGATTAGACTAGTATATACAATACCCTGAATAGCTTCCGGTCTGCTCGCAACATGCCGCGTATCGATTGCAGCCGCCGCCGCCGCCGCCGCCGCTTCCTCTCTCCTCACTCTGACTAGGTTACTCTAACTAGGTAATCAGTGGCTAAATTAAGACTAGAACAATCCTTGCACTTTGGAAATCATCAACACGGTTTACCCAAGTCTCGTCGCTCGTGCTTGTCTGCGGTGGCGGCGGATGGTTGTCGGGTGCATGAGTGGTGGTGAATTTGGTGATCGGCTTGCTGCGGGCAGATGGGAGACAGTTCACTCGTCCAAAAAACTCGTGGTGTATGGCCGGTGTGTGCTCTCGTTTCAATTCTCCTTCTTCTCTCTATCATCGACTCTTCCCACCAGCAAACCTCTAAAAGGTGGGTCCTCTGCGCTCGGTTCGGTCGTGGCCTCCTCGCTCGTAGTATGTTTTGTATAATTGCTACTAGGTAATATAATAATTATGCCTATGCGGGGGCATGGACAGCGGCCGGTGGTAATAAGCTAAAAAGGATGGCGGCCGCCGCGCTAAGCGCCCCTGCGTTAACACCAGCGAAATGGTACCGCCCTTGGTCTGTCCGCGCCTTCCTTGACGAGCGGCTTATGGAACTCTCGTCCAGGACGAGAATGAATTGTTGCCCAGCAATGCTCACAATAATACTGCAAAATACAACAACAGAAATATTAACAACAATAAATTTATTGGAATGAATAAAGGACTTACTTGGAGACAGGTGACGTTAGCACAGAAAAACGGAGCAAACTTTCCACCACACCGCTGACCCTGACACTCATCACACATCTGATCATCCAGAACGTAAGGTTTCACCTCAACCCGCTTGTCAATGTCACCGTGTTGTAGTTGGACGAAACGCGCGCTAATGGCGGCGATGTAACTCTGCTGGTTGCTGAATGCCACGCGACCAGCACCTTTCGGGTATTTCAATTCGGGATCTGTGTCGATTCCCGCATAGCACACACCTCCATACAATCGATCCATGATCATTGCTAGCTCCACTATTCAAAGGACCAAAAATATAATCAAATCTTCTCGTAAATTGTATAAAAATAGAACATACCTGCTTTCAATGGACGTGGAACACCTCCAACAAACACAGTCTTCCTTGGATCTAACGGCATCGAAGCATCCAAGACAAAATCAGCATCCGACAACCTCCACGGCCTGATCTGTACTGGTTTGTCCTTGATTGTGGGCGATGACACGCACAGGTACAACTTGTCTTCATCGGTTATGCAAGCATCAATTAGACTTTGCACTGAGGTCTCATCCTAGAACCAAATACCCCCGTTGGTTTTGCAATACAGAAATAATTAATATAGCTTACCTGAAATAGCAGGAAAGCATATCCCTTTGGTGGGAAGTAGCTCTTTGATTCGGCCTTATGGGGCCAGTCAACGACCAATGGGCCAAAACGACGGAAACTAGCAGTGATCTCGTCCTCATCAATATCTGGAGGTAAACCACCCACAAAAACTTTACGTGAGAAACGCTCACCACCTTCAGATCCCTGTGAATGTGGGGATGACCTGGACGGCGAACTGAGAGGCTGTGCACCTCCCAGGGACCCGTCCATATGACTGGGTTCCTCTAGTAGCACCTGACTAGCCTGGTCTTCCAATCCCGAGAAATATGGACCTCCTTTTCCTACAATAACAAAAACATAATGATTTGTAAACAAAACTAAAAACAAAAAAATGTATGAAAGGTGAATGAGATATCGTGACCCGCGACATGCAATCAATATTTTCCTTGGTTGTTGCTTTGTCTTCCGACATTTCCGTAAACATAAATATTATTCCAGCCGGTGATGAATGCAAAAATATTTTACAAAACAATGAGTCTTGTTGTCTCCATATCAGATCAGATGATGAGGATAATCCGAGTTGTTCGTTTGCACCCCCACTACCCTACCGACCGGCATCGTGCACGTGCTGGCCGCAGGTCGTTGGCCTCTCGTACACGTGCCCCGAAAATTGGGGTAGCTTTAAATTGCGCGTGCGCCGCAAGCGAACGAAATGTATCACGGGTCGGCGGCGGTATTGACGGGACCACCGCGAGGCATCTCGGTCCCGCTGCTCCCTCTTGCTTCCCCTTTATGTGCCCGACCCGCGTTCGTGCGAAGAAAAGCAACGGCTCGAAACTATTTCGAGCACGCAGCGCCGCATTTTCAAGACTTTCCGTGTGAGCCAGTAAGAAGACGTTGGTGGAAAGCAACCAAGCGACTCTACAGCCCTTAAAATAACACTAAAAAACCTAAAGTAGGCACTCACCATGCGTCAGTTGCGAGATGCTTTGGTATGCGTTCGTGTTGCAGTTGATGAAGCCTGCAACAATGAAAGAGAAACATCAGCTGATGATAATAAAACGAACGTAGCCATCCAGTTAAATCGAAACGGTTTTTATTTATTTTTTCGCCTGCTGGTTGTTGGTGTTACGCAATTTGGACCGAAACGAATCAACGAATCAACTTTCTTTCCACACATTTTGCAACACTTCGATCATTGACACAGAATACCAGCTAAAAACTTAAACTACAAAAATGATTTACATTTTAAAGCCGCTGTTTTGACATTTGAAATCAACACACGCAAGATTAACATATGGTCGAGATTCCTAGACATCATGTTCTCAACCCCCTGCAGTTGTACCTTTGCATACCATGACCACATGTGTGATATTCAACATCTGTGCGGTAGAAAACAAAGTATGGGGTAAATAGTTTTCGAGTAAAAAATCAGATTATATTTTCGTTGGCTGGTTCTTTGTCGGGTTGGCGTGGTGCATTCGTGTGTGGAAGCGTGCGGAGAGAAAGGTCCCATATCGATCCCGGTCGACGGAAAACGGGAAACGGGAAGCAGAAATTGTCGCGCGCATGCCGCCCCCGCACACGCACACACTGTGGTACTCTAGTACACTCTCAACGTCAGAATCAGCGCCTCGTAAATAAAGTATAACTGTCGCAAATGTCTCAACCACACACACACACACACATTGTATTTTTCAAACATAACCTCAATCCACAACTAGTTTCTGTGTGGATTACATCACGGACTAGTTTCGTTTTTTTTCAATTCGGCCAGCGGCTAGTTAAAACTAGACTAGCAAAATATAAGCATACACAGCACATTGCACACACATGATCGACATTTGATATTTGATATTGTGCAAGAAGCGAAAAAAAAAAAAACGCAAACACCTGTAACTTTTCAATGCAGAATAAAAAAATAATCAGCTGACGCGGCTGATTCATACTTTTAGTTGATAATTGAAATGTTTAGGTAGACTTGCTTCTTTCTTGCTTTTTCGTGTGCGGTTTGTGTTTGAACACCCATCGTACCGGAACAGGCCGTTGCCCCTGCGCCACCTCGCTCGGGATGATGGAAACACCGGAAGTAGACACTTAACAATAATTCGACTCTGGCTCCCGTGTCTGAAAAGGCACGCCAGCGATTCTAGCCGTACACTATGCACGCGCAAGCGCACCAACAACAATGGACGAGGACATGGGACATTTACAACCCAATCTGATGACATCAGTAATTACAACAAACCGAATTTTATGGTCAAGTTGTTTGCGTTTCCATGACTACTGTATTTTTGGAGGACGTTGAGAGTCATATGTTTTGTATTTGGTGTGTTGGATATGCGAGAGCGCGCGCACGTGATTCTCTATCACATTGAGTAAGTGAGCGTACTGAGTAAGTAGTGACACGCGCTAAGTAGCGTATTCATGCGCACTGCTGTCGATTGTTTACTCGACGTCACGCCGTTAATTCGTGTTTGCAGCGCTCGTTTGGCTTCTGCAAATTTAATAATTTAATCAACCTTCGACGATCGAAGTAATCGCATACAACAGCGCACACACAACACCAGCATAAACATAAAAATTCATTGCACTTGAAGGCAATGCCACGTGACGTCCGTTGTAATTTACACCACAGTCATATGATTCCAGCAGCAAATAATTTAAGCAAAAATATTTCCGACCTTTATTGATAGAATTAAAAGCACCCCATGTTGGTGGAGGTTCCACACGATGCTGGGTGGCCGCATCGGCCGGCGATGTCCCGTACGCCCGGAACATTCTGTTCCCGGTTCCTGCGCAGGACTCCAAAAACTCTCGCACTCACTCGCACACCAAACCAAGTGATCTTCTTCGTCGCGCACCGCACGCGCGGATATCGTTTTCGGTTGCGCGTTGAATTTAATACGGTGTGTACGCGCAGGTCGTGTGTGAGCGCTCTGCGGGCCCGGCAAGGACTAATCAGACGCCTATAGTCGGGCTAGAGCACAAGCACTCCGACGACGAGACTCGCTCGCGTCGACGCGGTACGCGTAGTCGTGGAAACCGGGCCGTGAATGTGACACACGCAAAGCAACGCAAGCAAAGCGTCCGAGAGTCTGACGTAACGAATAATAATTGACACCGGCTTGGCAACGCGGTGCGCAGGCGAACTCCAAACCACTACTTCCAGCAACAAACCCTATGCGCACACAAACAACTCCATCATATTCCCATACGCCACACAATTTACTTAAAACTTTCCTGTTATATCGCCAAAGTAATTAAATTATTACCCAAAAGACAACACCCTGTATATCCTAGCATAAAATGTGTTTAGAATCATAAAAACACAACAATTCGTCCCCATAAAACCTCTGGAATGCACTGAGGTGATTTTTATTCCCATAATATCCTTTTAAGGGGTCTCCCTGGAAAGTCTACCTCTATCCAGCTGATGTGGTTAACTCAGCTGATTCACAGCTGAATGACAATGATCAGCAGCAGGATCAATGATGAACAAAAGCATTGAAAGTACACCCCTACTCTAAACTGGGTTAAAGCTGTTACAGTCCTAGCCACCCTTGTACCCTTTACTGTCAAAATTCCGACGATATGTAGGGCAATGAGGGGTAGCAGTTGAAGAGGGTCCAGTCCACCCTCCGCTACTCCATGTACACACATGAACACATTAAAACCTAAAAGCACTCCCTCTGATCCATCCGATCATATTGGATAATAATCAATCAACCTTACTAAAATTTTAATTAAATTGCAACACATTGTCTTCTTTCCAATTTCAACAAAGGTCGTTTTACGAAATTTACGTCATTATAACCTGCAATTAACTAAACATACATGTGAGCGAACAAATTGCTAGCCATGTTATGTTGTCGATGTACACTGCTGATTGAAGCACACGTTTGTGTTTGTCTATACAGGATGTTCCAATTAATGTAACTAAATGTCGTTGTTGATATGATATTGACGGGGGCTGCTGATTTGGCAACAATTATGTAAAAGTTTAGTGTGCTTGAAATTAACGGATTGAAGCAATAATATCACATGTGTCCGACGAGTATCTATACGAGTAATGGAGGCGTGAAGCAATCCAAAACCGACATCGATTGCAAATCGACGCGAGTGTTACGCGCTGCGCGGACTACATGACGTCGCAAATTGCTTTTGACATTTAATCCAACAGCCAACTTGATTTGAATACAAAAACAAATCGCCACGTGCCAATAATCGAAAGAATACAATATATAAATACGCGTAGAGAATTCAACATGGCGTAAGCGTCAGAGAAGAGGTGCTAATGGAAGGATTAAGTTATGAAGAGAATTTGGTATAAATTATCACTTCTCAGTGGAAATTTACATAGATTAATAAACAAACATCCACGCAGAAGTTATGCAATGTATAAACTTCTCTTTTAAACTTTCATTAACATCTAATAACCTAAATGTGTAACTAACTTTCGATGTGTGCGTAATATATGCAACCAAATATTCACTCATAAAAAGAGAAATGTAAAAAATGCAAGATATGTAATAGAATCTTTTGAAAAAGAGGCGTCAAAAACCAGATTGTGGCCTGAATGCCGCTGGGAGCAAACAGACTAATAATTACAAAAACTAACAGCAGATGATTAACACCAGACCACCAAGCACACAAAAAATACATTACTTTCAATTTTTATAAATATAAATTTCAAAAACACTCTGTAGATGACCTACATTTAATTAAATCATTTTATTTATAAATAAAATATTTTCCTAAGTGAATTCAATTAACTTTATATTTTATATCGTAAATTGTTACGTCTTGACCTTGAACTAACCTTGCCCTTCGTATTATTTGCATTTTGTTTAATTATTGCGTTTGTTATCCCTTAATGAATGAATGAATATATATAATGATGGTTTATAGCCGAATAACTTTCTTTGTAATTAACATTTGACATTCTACCTGAAGCCAGAAGCCAGGTACGAGAGAATTTGGTATTGCGTATCCGAAACGCACAAATAACATCATTAATTATTTCCGTAGCATGGCAAAAACGTAACGCACCAAAGCGCACTAAAATGCCCTTAAACTGGTACACTTATACATACAGAGTGTTGCAATAAAACAAAAATACTAATAATTTAGTTTATAATTATTTTAAAATATCTAAACTTTTTTTTGCTTTAATTAGTTTAGGGAATGTTAAAATTTATTAAATTAGCTATTTCTATGTAAATGCCCCGAAACGAATGTGTAACGTAACGAACTAACTAAATAATTAAAATCCAATCTGAATAATGAGCACGTTTAAAAATGCACGACGGCCTCGCACAAGGTTTTCGCTTCCGGAGGGATGTCCTCATGCGTGTGTATTAGCAAACAGGGGTGGATTTAAACCCAAAATCTAACCAACATATTCCCGAGTAAATCCTTTCCTGTGTTTTTAGTATAGGATGAAACACAAAAGGCTAAGTAGATGGGGTTAAAACTATGTCTAAGGGTGGTTTCCAGACAAGTGGTCTATGGCTCCCCCTCAATTACATGGCTGTTCATATACACTTTAAAAATGCCGACGCTATATAAATTTGTATCATTTGTATTTGAATTATCACACTTTATACTTTTTTTTCTTTCTGGTGTGGTGGCTAGTTAGGTTAGGTTTGGATGGCTTTGGATGTGCCAAGGGAATAAATTCGTGTTCATTTGTGTTTGCTGGTGCTGATAAACTCGTTTCCGAGCAAACAGCAAATAGTCTTCGCTATCTGGTGATAACACAATCAAACACTGGCGCTTGTTTGCAGCGGACACGTTTTGTGTGCAATGTGTAGGACAAATTATGCCTTTATAACCTCGAAATGTTGTGAAAAATAGGTTATAACTAATAAAAACAGGTACAAAAACTTTATGTATAAAGATATGCTTTATATAAATTCGAGACGTGTGTGAAAATATATTAACAGACCAAATATGGTCGTTTAAAATGATATCATAAATTGGAAATATGTAAATAAGTAAAAGTGTTATCAAAATTTACCAAAGACGATATTTCGGCCCTTATTTGAGATAAGGCATCAATTAATAATGTGATTTGTTATAAAATCAAATCATTATCTCCCTATATGCATTATATTTATTTAGATAAAGGTTTAAATGTATATCTACACCAGTGGCGTAGCTGTGTGTTAAAATAATTTTTTTAATAGATATTTTAAATTTTTCTAAATCCCCTTTGTAATTAGAATACTTAAATTTTTCCTTAAAAATACCAGTCTTATCATATATCCATAGTAATTAAATAACTAATTACTTGATTCTACCTATGTCACGTAAGTATTAAACATTTATCAATTTTAATCATACTAGTATCATACACCGTAAATGTAGTTGATAGGCACGTGGCTAATGAAATAAAATAATTAACTCACCTTTAAGCTCATTAGATTCCGAAGGATTCCGCATGATGTCGTTGAGTATGTGCTCGAAGCCGCGCATCGACTCGAGCGGGCTGCTACCATTGGCGTTCACTACGCCGCAGCGATCCTGCAACGCGCAGACAAAAACAAACACGGATTAGAAAACGACGCGCATTTTCATCCCCTTATCATAAACTCTCACGCCAAGATAACTTCTCCGGTAGGTTTCAGCAACACAAACAACAAACAGAAAAAGCTAAAAAGCAACAAAAACAAACAAACAAAAACACACATGCACCGCCATTACAAAACTAACCTAAAATACATAACACTTAAATCTAACCTCAATTAGTTGCAGCTAGTTGTACATAATAACGCGTAGTTTTGATTAGTGTATCATCAACACTCGGTGCGAGATGTTTGTAAATATGACCCTATGGCTATAAATGTTTCCTCTTAATTCGAGGCGGTTTATTTTCGTGTGCGGCAGTTAGTAAGTAATTTTAATGTGCCGACGCCAGCCCGCGCCGCAATATGGAAGCGTTTATTTATAACGCGCGCCGCGCCGCTGCAGCTATTTCGGTGCCGTCTCATTCTCGCCGCGTGACTGCGACTCTTCACCGAAAATCACTAGGATAACCACAAAGTCTCCGAAAGCTTTGCGGTGGCAAACACATCAAGCTTAATGCACAAAACACACCCTCAGACAGACACGCATACAGTAAATCCAAGATGGCGACCGTGCGACATGTTAACAACATCAAAAAACCAACAAATCAATAGCTTTATTAATAAAAACAACAACAACAACAATAAAAACAAAACAAACAAAACGATAACAATAAAACAATAAAAAAACAATCGTATCAGATTACAGGTGCGATGCAAATGTGAGGAAATTGCAGCGAAAATGATGTATAAACAGAACATGGCGTGGGTTTGTTGTGCGTAATGGAGGCCATGACGGCAGTGTGCAGTAATCTTGGTTGCCTACGTCCGAGTGCTGAGGGGTATTTAAAGATTCTCCGTTTACATAAGCCGGGATTATGACATTAATTGGAGCGCAAACGCGGAAAGCATCATGGCGACGCGAAAATCAATTTTCGTCTATATGAAAATCAAACAATTGCAATTGACCCATAAAATTCGTAATTATCCAATAGCATAAACATTCTAGGTGTTGATATGAAATGAGCCTGCGGCTGCTGCTGCGTTGTATGGATTCCTCGAGGTGGCAGAGTGGGAAAAAGTGTATGTGTGGGATTTAACCTAATTCCCGGACTTGAACTAGTTCCAGGCGGAACGCACACATAGGGAGGTAAACAGTGTCGTACGCACGCACACAGCGCCACCACCGACGTCGTACAGAGGTTGAAATATTGATGCAAAAGCCAAAAAGCTCACAAACCACTAAAAACGCCATTTTTTGCAGGGCACACATGATGGCAGGTGGTGCAAAATCAGCCCATGTCCCTATATTGATTTTAGGACCACAAAGCTGAGTGAATATAGGACATGTGGGAAGTGGGTTGCTGGGTCCTGTCATTACCTGATACTGCAGCAGCTCCCTGGGCTCGTCCATGTTCGTGATCTCGAACGTGGGCGGTTGTGGAAACGGCCCCTTGCCCGGATACGAAGTACTTCGCCGGAACTTTACCGGCGAGATGACCTGCTGCTGATGGTTGAACGTCGGCGAGGGTTTGCGATTCGCCACGCTCATCTGCTGCTGTAGGGGTGTCAGATTGGGCACACTGCGGCCACGGTTCCAAGCGGACGCATTGCTTGACCAGCTCTGACCCGGGTTCGCCCACGAGTTATAGCTCTTGAAGAGCGGTTGCGGGCGGGTGATGTTGTGTGGGAAGTTATGGCTGGCTGTAATCGCGCGCCTACCCTGTTGTGGGCCATGATTGTAGAGGTGTTGTTGCTGTTGATGTTGTTGATGTGGTTGTTGCTGCTGTTGCTGCTGCTGCTGTTGGGCGAAACTTTGAAAACCTAAACCACTATTCACGTTCGCGAGCCCGGAGACATAGCTGTCCTCGATTCCGGTCGACCAGAGGGGCGGCGGTGGGTCAGAGGTGTTCACGTCAGCACCATTACCACCCACACCGCCACCCACTCCGGATTGAAAGAGTAGATTGGTCTTGGTTGGGTTCAGGTCAGAGTTGCCTCCACCTCCGCTGCTGCCACCGCTACCGTTCGAAGGCAGCGTTGCGCTGGTGATGGTGCACTTGTCCATGTCACCAGTTCCGTCGTCCTTTTTATCGCCCGGCTCCGACTCGCCCGCACTAACAGCTGTTTCGTCCTGCATACTCGCAGGCCGATTATCACCGCCGCCGCCTCCGCCGCCACCACCGGTACGATTAGGTGTGGTGAAATAGATGAGCCCGGAACTGTTCGTCTTGGCGCTGTCCACCGCACCGAGCGCCAGATTCGAGCCGCCGCTCAGCGTGAATTCGCCCATTTGCGAACCGATGATGGTGGTTGGCTTCCTGCTCCGTTCGTCGTCGAAACGGTGTGGGTTGGCCGCGGTCGCGCGAGTTATTTGGCTTGCCCGTTATGTCATGTAGCCCGAACTGTGCGCGCCCGCCGCTGTGCGTAACGCCATAACCCTTCTCGGATCTACGGGCTCCTGCTGGCATGCGCGGACGCTCGGATCGAGATTACATCGACGCGTTTGCGTACAACTTTTTCACTGCAGCTGATGACGCGACACGCGCGGAGTACCTGCTAGCGCCGCAGCGCCGCGCCACCCCTCTCGCTCGCTCACGCGCGCGCGTACATATTACGTAACGATCCTACTCCTGCTGGCCTGCTGCGCCGCACTGCGCCGCTGGATGTCGCCAGCGTGGCCGTACACACACTTCCGACCGACCCGCTTCGACCTTCTCGCTCAATACTCCTGCTGCTGCTGCACTCGCAAGCGCACAGGGTGACCCAAATCGCTCCAAACGATCCAAAAATCCATGCCAATCAATTTCCAGCGTCAACGCTGACCATGTATTCATCATAGATAAGTTACCGTTATCGTGCGACACAATGGTCACACGGCGAGATAGCGGTAATCGTGGTGCACATTGATTGCAGGAATGCGCCGCGCGCCGCGAGGTCAATGGGTGGTCGCCTGCCCCAGAAATCAATGACGAGCACTCGCAATCAATACGTCACAATCATCTTCTAACTAGTCTAGTCTTTTATAAAAAAAACTCATCCCAACACTATTTCAGCAGGAATATTATTCATATATTCACTATATGCAACCAATTACACATTAAATGATGTAATGATCAAATATTTTCGAAAATTATGCAAACTATCCGCATCAATGAACTGCTTTGAACACGCTTCCGAAAAAAATACGCTACAAATTTCACGCCGGCTACTTCCTGCTGGGCGGCTTAATAAAGTGCGAATTTGTTACACTCTTTTCACTGCTCAATCGTCACGCACGTAGCGCCTTTTTGCCCGCACAGAAAAAGCTACACCTTTCTTGGACTCTATATAAAACGAATTTCTTGGAAAAATTTGATCAATCGATCGACGAACCCGCCGCAGTCTCGACGCGTACGCGGAGACATGAAAATCTTAGCATTCCTACTGTTTGGTAAGCAAATTCACCATTAAGTAATAAGACTTAAGTCATTTAATAACCATATTCATAGTGTCCGTGGCTTTGGGAAGAACAAGCAGACGGCACAAACACCATCAGTACGAACACCAGTATGAACCTGATTTCTTCGGATCAGAAACAAATCATTTTGAGAATATTGAACAAGCTGCCGAGGGGAATAAAGGTTCTGATGGAGGAGCCGGTGGTGGAAGCGGTGGTCAAGCTAAAGGAGATAGTGGAGGAGGTGGTAATGGAGGAGGAGGTGGTGGAGGTTCTGGGAATGGTAAGGAAGGTTTCAGCGTAGGAAGTGGTCTTAGGAGCATTGCCCAAGGATCAGCAGATCAAGCAGCTAATGCTGTACAAAATCAGAAAGCTGCTGCTGATCAAGCTGCTTATGTTGCGAAAAATACTTTAGCACAAGCTGCTGCAGCAGTAAGTTTATCTTAAAAATTTAAAAATAAAAAATAAAAAATTAATTTAAAATATTTAGGCGTCTGCAACAGCCCAAGCTGCTCTAGCAGGTAAACAAGTAATCCTGCAAGGAATAGAACAACAAGTCCAAGAAGCAAAAACCGCCCTCGACGGAGAAAACATGCAACTAATGCAAGCGCAGCGCAGCGCAATGGCCGCGCAGCAGGCAGCCCAACAAGCAGCGCAGCAAGTGAACGTCATTCAAGCTGCTCTCAACGCCGCAATGGCGACGTCCGAAAACGCTCAAACATCCGCATCGGAAGCTGCGGGAGAATTAGCAGCGCAACAGTCGATGGTAGGCGCTGCCCAACAACGCTTACAAACTCTAATGGAGCAATTACACGGTATCCGCATAGACTTCGAGGCTACTCAAGCTGCCGCAATGAAGGCAATGCAGGCAGCCCAACAAGCACAAGCCAACGCTGCGGCAGCCGCAGCCGCAGCAGCCAAAGGTCTGGAAGCAAATAACAATACAGGAGGCGATAAAAAACAAGCCTTAACTGATGCCACCTCACACGACTACAACTATTACTATAACTAACATGTGATTCATAATTTTTTGTTACTGTTACTACTGTTTACCATTATGATTTGTAATAAAATATTAGTTGACAACGTCGGCGATTTCTAATTGCATTTGTATGCAAATGCAAGGTCACGGTATTGCAAATGAGTCACTTTAACTTAACTTACTTAACTTAAGTCACATTAGAAATAGTATACTTAAGTACCTAAAACCTAATTTAATCTATAAATATTTCAATCAAATAAGTTGACTTAAGCTACTGTTGGTTGGTTGGAATTCAGTATATTGACTTAAGTCATATTAAAACCGTAGATCCCGTTATTTCACCAAGAGTAAAGCTACTTAGCACGATCCGAAACGAAGGCGAGAAAGAGACTGGGTCAGCTGGACGGTACCAGAGCCGGGTCTCCCCGTCGCGTGTCTGCGGAGGAACTCAACCACCACCTCAAGTCTCCACGCAAGTCGCCGCGGCAGTCCGAACGCAAAGCTACAACAAACCGCGTCGTCGTCGTCGTCGTCAATCGCGTGATTAGTGTTTAATAAATTAGAATTTCGCGCTGATTTCAGTGACCAACTAGAGTGACCAATAACTTTACCAATAAATAATGTAACACAGCGCATAATTACGAAAGCATAAAATTTAAAAATTTAAATTAAAGTGTATAAATTAAATTTTAAAAAATAATTCGAATAAAAAAACTTTTAAATAATAAAAAATGAAGTGTGCAAGTGTATTACTATTTCTATTCATGATAGGTAGGCTTTATTGATCTTTTTATTTATTTATATTTAATTACAAATATTTAATTTGTAAAAGTAATGAATTTTCATTACTTAACCTCAAAAATATCCTATCGGCGACTATTCTTGTTTTTATTGATCGTTAAATGGTAAGATGAGTATGTATTATGTATATATCGATACAGGGTGATTAAATTTGTATAAAAATCACCTTCTGCCTCATTATCGCGCTTTAAATGTTGTTATATATGTAAATAATTATACATTGATGTATTATATGAAAATTACGTGCGTAATATCTGCATAATAACGTATTTAATTCGTGTATGTAGTTGTATGCTATTGCTATTTAAAAATGTTCACGTATCACACTCGGTGTGTTGAAATTTCGGAATTTTTATGTGAAAGAAGAACTGTAATTGTAATTCTAAATCCTCAAGTGATGAATTTATTTTGTTTTATTATATTGTTACTCAAACAATTCAAAGTGTGCTGCTCTTGTCACCAATTGTGCGTACATAAATCGTGCGTTTTCTGTTATTCTTCTTCCGCGAGTCGAAGTCAATGAGTAATATTTTAATGTGGGTTAGTGGGTCTCGAGCAGTTTACGCATGCGCACACCTTCGACTGCCAAATACTGCGCTGGTAAAATTTTCTCATCTTTTGGCATACTTTGAAAAACTCAAAAATTTCACTCGATTCGATTCATTTAATCAATTAAAATTGTTTTAATATTAATATTATTCACGCCCGCTCTCTTATGCTGAGATTATGACTCCACCTTCGGTGATTCGCGGATTCGGTGCCTGTTACCAAGTCAGTAAATTCTTGGACATTCTAAAGTGCATAAAAGTGGCTTTCGTGCTGGTGCAGCTCGTGCTCAAACTCGTGCATGTTGCACTTTTAATCCAGTTTGAAAATTATTCGCGCTCGTTATGCACAACTGCATTCATATACACTTTCATGCTTTCTGTTTCATGATCAGATTTTGATTTCAATTTCATATTTTTTCAAACATTTTAATTAATAATTAGAACGGATATAAACAAATAGCATTCAACTACAAACATGAATTCTTAACCTAAAAATGTTTTTATTTTGTTTTTATTTAGTAATTAAACTAAATTAACAATATTTTTGTATGTATATAATTAAATATAACATCCTTCTACTATTATTATCAATTATCTAGTTCCAGTAGACGTAGATGTTTTTGTATATAGTGTTAAATATTGCTTGAACTAAAAAAAACCGACAGACTTTTTCTTTTGACACAATACGAGCATGATAATTCTCCACATTCTCAACATATAACTTTATTTGGTTGCAGGCGGTACTTGGCGCCTTGGCCGAGCCACCTGTGTCCTGGAGTCAGATTTCGGATTTATACTCAACTGTGCTTTTAAGAAATCAAGCCTCTTCCGAATTAGAAACCTAGGGGGTGTCAAAGCACACGCTAGCCTTGGTAAACCAAAAATTACCTCTTTTCTCAACATACATCTTGATTTAATACTTAATTTAGTTTTGTATTCTGCACGCTCTTCATCGATTAACAAATCATCCCGACACTTTTACATAACATCGAATAATCATGATTTTTTATGTTTAATGTGTTTAATGTGTTCATTCAGCAATTACGTGTGCACTTGATATCGATATTGAAAGTATCCAATCAGCATAATTACAAGGCATACACCCGATGCACGATCATCATCGCAAATCGTCGAAATCAAGTTCAAGTTGTGCTTACACGTGTAATCCGCGTAATGGACGACTTTGACATTCACATTTATATTCAACATTCACACACGTCTTCGCAATCACCGCCTTAATGCTTCTCATTGTTTGCAAAGAATATCTGTGGGCGTGTGAACATAAAACACAACAACAAAAAATAAACAAAAAACACATTAATTGACTTCCGTTACAAAATAGAAACATTACCCATTATATTACACATTGTTTTAGTTTATTTGATTAAAATTTAAAATGCTTATTGAAAATATTAGCGGTAAACGTAAATTAATTCGTTTTTAATTGACTGTAGATGCGGACTTGATGGTTTCTAATTGTGTTCAATTATTTAAATTTCACTAATTTCGCTAATTAGTAATTGAGCTATTAAGGCACTGCGCTTCGCTTGAGTTCAAAGTTATCATTGAGTTAATACGGGTGCGTTTGTGGCTTGAAAACTTCGTGTGCGAAACGAATCAAGGTCTCTGCGTTTGTAATTAGAAGTGTTGTGCTTGGAATTTTATTGAAATTCGAAATGATTGTGCAAACCAACCGAATCAATGCGAGTGCATTGGGCGTGAACGCAGTGAATAAAAATTGATATTTATGGATTTTCAAGTTCATTCTAAACATTTTGACACCAATAACTAATTGGATTTAAGAAATACCTGGTTTAAATTTGATTATCTTAGAAATTAATCAAAAATACATAAAACAAGCAGGCTGTATACCATGAAATTTAAAATTAGGCAAATAGGTACATCTTAACGCCATCTGCATTCAAATTTCACGAATTAATAGTATAACTGTGAACTTGTTTGTTTGTGACGCTTTTACATGTAATCCACTGAATCAATTTTGATAAATTTTGGTGTAGAGACAGTTTTGAGCAAGTGAAAACAAATAGACTACTTTTTGTCGCAAAAATAGACCTTAAAGGGTGTAAAATAAGGGATGAAAGTAGGTATAGAGGTTCATTCACAGTTCTAGTTAAGTAATTCGAATCCAGATGACGTAAAAGTACATTATTAGCATTTCTCATCTTTTTAAATTAAAAATTAAAATAAATTTGCACAAAATAAGCTTTAATCCCTTATTTTACACCCTAAAAATTATATTTTCGTGACAAAAAGTAGCCTATGTTATTCTCCTAGGTTCAAAATATCTCTATACCAAAATTTATTAAAATCGGTCAAGTGGCTTTTGCATAATCGAGTAACAAACATCCATCTATTGACCAAAACTCCTACATTAATAACATAAGCCGAATTTAACCTTAAAATCTTTACGATTCATTACATTATTTCTTTACATTTTAATACTGTCAATTTATATAAACTCATTGAGATTTCGCTCGTTTGTCATCCACTATTTGTCAGTTAGGTAACGACAAGTTAATAAAAGTTTCTCTTTCGCGTGCGAGTCTTATTCTTGGCCCGTGCACGTGCTGGTGTGTGTTTTACGCACTTAAAGTGCACAAATTCATATCGCGGTGTCGTATCACCAAACGAACAAGCACACTACACCAACATTACAATTACCTCTAAATCCACCGAGTGTTACACAAACTATTATCCAATACAACCACACATAGTATACATATAATAATATTATCAATATCAAGACACTATGTTTATTTTGTCCGCGTGCGCGTTGCTGGAATAATGACAAAAATATCTTCTATTAACATAATTACAGCAGTGGTCATTTGTCACTCGATCCGCACGCGTATGACAAACGAGCGAAATTGAAACTTTGAAACTTTCTTCGTTCTTCTAGGCATCAAAAATGTAATAATTTTATTTTCGTGGGAAAGTAATTTTAAACTCCTCCAGTGTAATATTTAGTAAAGAAAATTAGAAAATTTCCTGTTGTGTGTCAAGTTTCGTTAGGTTAACCTCCAACCTCTTGGGAAATCACTTAGAAAACACATACATAACAATCGATTACATTTGCATACGAAGATGAAATTAAATACTTGTATTAATAAACATAATCCACAATATCCTGATCTTTAAAAGACAAAACTTTCATCGCTTCATCATCCGCACGTCATTAATATTCATAATCATTTTTTGTAAAGTTCACAATGTGTGCGGAATTTGTATAAATTGAAATTTAGAAATTCTCGACACAATAATTTAATCGTGATGCATGCAAATTAACATACGAATGACCATAAACTCATAAAGCGTTTAAAATATTTGCTTGTATCATCAAAAGGGGGACAACCCATCTATTAAAATTTCATTATTTGTTATTTGGCATTTAACTTGCGCCGACATAACACAAATTAGCATAAATAAAATAATAAATTTCTTTTGCGTACGGTCAGGTTTCAGCCTGGGCGATGAGCTGGGCTTCAAGGAGTCCATCTCCAACACGGAAATCAACCGTCGAAGATCCGCGCAGGGATCCAAATTCACCGCGCAGGCTGTTTTAGCTCAACAACAACAACAAGTGCAACAGCAGGTATTTATAGCTATGAAATGAGGTTATGTTGTATAAACAAATCCATGTGAATGTATGCGTACGGTATAAATTACGCTCTGCACCAGTTGCACCAGATTACATAATTGAATTGTCCTTGCAGTCAATTTACTCTGAAGCGTAGATTTGTTGTTGATGCATCGCGGAGAGTTAATAGATGTGTCGTTGCAGTTTGAAGCAAGAATCATTACGACTTAATTTGATGTATGTAAATGTTTACAAAATACAATTTGCAACTTCCATCTGTTTTCTACGACTTGAGTGAATGTTTGAATGTGGAACCTTGAGTGGCACGACCTTATAAGAGACTTAACTTTTGTGTTTTCCAGGCGAATTCGATTGCAGTTCGTTCTGCGAATGTAAATGGTTATGACACCATCAATACCTCTGCAAGTGTGAAGAAACCTAGTGGTTCAAGCACAGTCCCTCCGTTTAAACCTATCCCACCTGCAGCTGAGCACCCAGCAATTACAAAACCTAATATAACTCGTTATACAAGTAACATCCCACAACCTGCTATTGTAGGCATGACTGTTCCTGAATATCCTGTGCGTAAAACCACTGTGAATGCAATCAAGGCACTTCCAACCGTTCAAACACCTCCACAAAATATTAATATGAATATCAATAGAAAAAGTGATCGGATAGCTACAGGAGGTGCTTATCCTTACATTTCGAATGAAATTGGTGGAGGTGCCAATGCAGGTCTACCTGTTATCAACATGAATGCACTACAAACTATACTAGCTCAAGCCAACATCTCCGAAAGCACTTTCGAAGCTGCTTTGAGACAAAAAGTAGCTCCGGTTACAACAACTACTACTACAACCACCACAACTACTCCTAGATCTACAAGACATAATATAGTTAACATAGGGAAGGTTATGAATGCTCCCAAAGAATACTATCCAGTTGGATATGATAAGAATTTTGATGATAACTTTGCGTCGAGAGTAGAACTGCCTGAAACCTCGTTTTACTGCGGGGATCAAAAACACTTCCCTGGATTGTACGCGGATGAAGATCTAGGATGCATGGTAAGTGAAAGTTTGATTTTTTTAAATGCTTTGATGTTTAGAGATATCAATAATTGATAGTAATTGACAAGACAAACAAAGGCTTTCATGTCATGTCGAGTGCGTCCTCGTGCTGTATACAAAACAAGATATTGCTTCATTTTTACAATTCTTTTCTATAGATTTATGGAGATAGACGATGTAATGACAATAAATTATACAGGGTGTTCATATATTTCGTAAAATTCTTTAAAATTTAAAAAATCTATGATTAGTTAGTTACAACGTTGATAACACAAGAACTGCTGGATAGATTTTGATGATTTATGATTTTTTGGATTTATCTACGCCCCGAATAGAAGAATAACTATTAAAATATCAGAAATTGTGCTTCTAAGGGTGTTAAATAAGGGCGGAAAGTTGATATTGAGATTCTATCATAATTATTGCTAAATAATTGAGGTCTAGATGGCGTTAAAGTCCATTTTTAGCATTTCTCATTTCTCTAAGTCTTATTAATCAACAAAGTAAAAATTAATTTCATTTTTACTAAATACTACACGGCCAAAGTCGCGAGTAAAATCCAATATTACATAAAATACGTTAAAATTTTAAAAAATCCTAATAATAAAACACTATAATGATAAATTATGAGAGTCATCGAAATTTGCTTTCGAATGCGTAGGTATCTAGGTCAATATCAAGCCGATATCGCGCAAGTAATTGAAACATTTTGTTGCGGTGCGCACACAAAAAACTCATTCATTCGCCTCTAATGAAAGTGTTAAAAAAAACTCTACACAGACGTTGTCAAAAGATGTACATGTTTACTATTTATTTCGACATTTTATTGCGGTATTACGTGCATAATAATTGCGTTTAAATTGATGCGCTACCAAAAACCGCCTGCAGAAGAAGATGAGTTTTAAATTACTAAACGTAAACATTTCATGGTCCATAATTAATTGAATTAAATTAATCTAATGTAGAAGTTGTTAAATTACGGTGTTAATGTCTTTTTAACATGATACCCAGCCACACATCTTTTATGAAATAGCTCGCGGTGTTTTAATATGATGACTATTGTTGTTAATAACAATAATAACTGTAATAAAGTTACAATTACTGGTTGCGCTGAAGATTGTGATTTATTTTTATTGATGTCATTAGATTAGAGGTAAAAATAGTTGAAATTTCTCCGTTCGGTGGCAATTTTTTTTCCACGGAGGATTTTCATGTTACCATGCTCGTAGAAATGTGTACTTCGAATACTTTACTTCTAATTCTAATTGACTGAGAAAGAAAAGTGAGAACATCGTCAACGAAAGGAAAGTCATACAGCTTGACACTAATTCACAATGATGACGCTTAAGAGAGCGTGAAATGGCAATTCGCTGTTTGATCGTTTCAGAGAATCTGAATCATCTCAATAGTTTTTATAATAAAACTAGAAATTATATGGAATACTTCCAGATAAATAGAATTTCCGGATACAAGCATATAAGAAATATTTTGTGTACGTGAAGACATCGCGTGATAATTATTTAATTTTAATTAAACTTCCGTAATATTTCGATTGAGATTGAGAATATGAGCAATTCATTAATAAATAATTTGAAAAAGAAAAAATATTAATAAAAACAAAAATAAACAATATTTATATAAATTAAACCAATTAGCACACATTAATTTGTGTTGCCTTTTTTGTGTTGCTTTTGATGAAGTTTACTTCGAGAATATGTGAATGGCGCAATCATGGATGTCCTTTTAAATGTAATTAACATTCATATTAGTCAGTCATTACACGTTATAATGCAGGTACTCGCATGTTATAAAAAAGAGCTACATGAGCTGTTATTAACAATTACTATATAGTTGATATTGTATTTAACAATCACAAATTAACATGTAACATGAATCTGTGAAGATTAAATACTTTTATGATTATTACACAGTTTATACAAGGTGTTACAATGTGCAAATCTTTAATTTTTATAAAATTTTGTATAAATTTGCAGAAAAAATTTGAATTTGATCGAAATTAAAGCAAAAATTAGCAAGAATTTAAGGAAAATTTTCAAAAAAATTATTTTGATTTACATTTCGCACCTTATAAATTACGAGTATAGTTGCAACTAAAATTTATAAATCTTTACTATGTATTAGTGCTGGAGTTGTGAGTTATGTTTCCTTGATTAAGGCATCTGACAAGTGGAATTCAAGAAATTTTATTCGCAATTTTAATTTTAGTAAAGATCTCACAAATTCTAAACATTTTATGCAAAATTAAAAGATATTATTCTTAATTTGCTTTTTATACAACGTGTTCTATTTAAAACTCTATTGAATAAATAGCTTCTTAATTCATTAAAATTTCACTATAAATTAACCTTTTAGCTACTTTACAACTCCTTCTCGAATATCTACTGATTATTAATTGTATAGTGCACACAGCCACAACCTGCATACAATTAACAACCCATGTTTATGCTTATTTTACTATACAGCACTAAACACTAAGTCAGGCCAGGTATTAATATTAACGTTTGTGTGCCAATTAATTTATTGACCAACAGACCGACACGCTGATTTTTTGTGCGCACTACTATTTCGCTGCTTTCCATTGCAACTCGCACAGTTCTGCACAATTCTGCACAGCATATTTATTACTTACTATTACAAATCCATAGTAGTAGTAATAGCAATACTCTAGAAGCCAATTGAAGTTAAACTTTACCTGACTAAGTTCACTGCGCACGCATGCACAACAAAAAACAAAAAGCAATGAAACATACCTATTCATATCCAGTAATTTAGAATATGTAATTTCAATGCATGCATACTAGTAATCTTTGATCATTAATATGCCTACTTAAACCCGAGGGTGTAAACATTCCTAACTTATCTGAATAGTAATGGTAGTTTACATGCTTTAAGTACCTAAAAGTACATCAAATCAGTTTCTTCTCGAATTGAAATCGCGTGATACTCGTATTGAACGTAGGTAAATGTTTGTGATCACCGTTTATTTTCTTGTGAGATCCACGATCGAGGAAATAAATTTCCAGCGCACGTTCATGCCGCAACCATGAATGCTCATGGAGAGGTGATTCAACATACAAGAACAAGTATACACGTATAGCAATCAATGGTTTTAAATCACATTGAGGCATGGGTACGCGCATCTTGCGGCACTTGAAACTTGAATAATGAACTCGTATCGTGTGAGTGAACTTGGTGAACATCACTTTAACAGTACTAACAGTAAAGTGTATACACTGTATACGATTAGGATTAGATAAAATACAGAGTGCACTTGTAGGTACAGAAATATAACATGTTTTGATTTAATTTGATAAATTTGTTAGCTGTATAAGCATGAATGTGAAAATGTATGTGTGTTTCTTATTTACTCCAAAACTGTTGGAGATATTTTGATGAAAATTTCAGATAATCTTCAGAATCACCTATCGAATGATCTGGTGAAATTTTGTAGCAGAAATATTACTAGAAGGGTGTAAAATAAGGGATGAAAGTTGATATGGAGATTCTATAATAGTTCTAGTTACATAATTTGAGTCTAGATGGCGCTAAGATGAACTTTTTTATATGACATAAAAAATAATCCTTCTTTGAAAATAATTATGTGCTGATTTTATACATTAGTAGTAAATTACTGCTGTTGCTGTTATTAATATAAATTATTGCAACACTTTGTGTGAGTGATTGTAATATGTATAAAAGAGTGTCTGCTGCGTGTGCATTGCACGCGCGACATTGAACTTATGCAACATAAATTCAACTTTTGCAAGTTTCGCACCAGTGACGCAGCACAAAGCACTATCGGTATCGCCGTGCACACGCTCCAATTGATTAATTGGTCGATTGTCATCGCCGTGAGAGTAATGCGAACTGTGCATGTCCGGTTGTCAATTAAATCGTTAACAACACATATTAAAGAACATAAACATTGTGCACTCATTATATGCTCACCCACAATCTCAAAGTTGTGAATGAATCATCCGGTTGCATTTTAAGTAACATTTTGACACATTTGATGACGGAAAACTTTTGATAAGTTAATTTTTTGGTAGTAGGGAAATAATTTTGATTTAATGTTATTATTTCTATATTTATAGCTTAAATAAATAAGTTAATGTTTTGAAGTACCTTGAGTTATAAGTATTAAGCAAATATCTTACAATGAGCGTTAATTGAAGTAAAAAAGTATAATTATTTTTGCCTAATTGTAATTATTCAAGGTTCATACCTAAAACAAATCAACAATATTTATTGTTTTGTTGGTTAACATTACATAATAAGAGTGGAAACGAATGAACGATCACAAACTTCCATAACAAGCAACCCTAGCCATTAATTTTCTAATTTTCTTTGGAAAGAGAAATCAATGTATGCACAATTAATTCGCGATATAAAACTGTACAAAATACTTCATATGAAATGTTTTTTTACTAAGTATTAAAATATAGAAGAATTAGAGAGTCATACGTCATACAAACGAAAAGATTTCAGCTCAAGGTCTGATAAATCAAAAAAATATTATTAATAATCAAAAAAAAAAATAACAAAGTCGTCCAAAACGAAAAAGAAAAAGAGTAAGAGTAATTGACATAGATATTAAGTGCATATAAGACTTGCCATTTGCAGTGACTTAACCTTACTCATAAATCACAAGTGAAATAAATCAATATAACCAATCAACTATTGCTTTTATATTAACTAAATATTTTTTTACAACTAATAAGTATTTTTTTATTTTCTCAACAAAACTGCACTTAAACACGCAAAAAACAACAATTAACACTTAGCTTACAAAATAATTGTTTATAATAATTCATTTCGAACATCAAATTTACTACTTCTTATTTAATATTATTAATTATTACTTATTGTTACGAAGTTTATAGGCGTCTCGTATGTTACAGAGTAAAAGTTTAAACTTACAAGTTACTCGTACAAGCCTTTTACTTATCGTCAAATTCTCTTTATTCTTTGTGAATGAATGAATAAGTAAAATAAATTTGTTTCGTCGTTTGTATTCGAATTATTTTGTAAGCGAAGGTAATTTACGATCATTTTGCGTTTGAGTCTCGTAATACGAAATAAGACTAAGTGGCTTAGGCCTCTTATGCGCCCAGTTAAGAACAAGAAATATGATGATGAAATTTAGGTATTCTACGATAATTCGTTTAATGCGCACACAATGCAAAAATATGAAATATGAAACTTGAACCGCGGCAATATATGAATGAGAAAATATTTCTAGATTCTATATTTTCATTTGAATTGCACGCACATGCGTTACTTAATCATAATTTTGTTTTATTTATATCTAAAATATCTATCTCTATACTAAAAACAGACTTGTGTTAGTTAAAACATTTATAACTTAAAAACGGTTGGATAGATTTTGATTATCTATGATTTTTTGGATTCGTCTACGACCTGAATAGTAGAATAACTATTAAAATATCAAAAATTGTAACATAAAGGGTGTTAAATAAGGGATGAAAGTTGGTATAGAGATTAAATCATAGTTATAGTTAAATAATTGAATCCCAGGTGGCGCTAACTTGCATTATTACCATTTCTCATTACTTTAAAACAAAATTACCATTCTTATTGATATCTTGAACAAGAAAGTAAAAATTTATCTAATTTTTACCAAAAACTACAGTAACGAATCCGCAAAAACCAATCTCAAATAAATTTATTATACTTTCAGGTGTTTCACGTCTGTGCATTAACTGATGATGGCCTGATAATGAAGAGTTTCCTCTGTCCAGAGTCCACACTCTTCGACCAGACCATCCTCAAATGCAACTGGTGGTTCTACGTGGATTGCAAGAACTCGAAAAAACTCTATGATTCAAACATACCGATCTCCAAGAGCTATCAACTCATGAAAGCCCTCACGTTCTTCTCAGCTTACAAGAAGGACGCCGCAGCGGAGGGCAGGAAAGAAAAAGACTGATACCGCCATCACCTCTCCTTTTATGATTGTTGGCATTACTATGCTATGTGTATGTGAAAAGATGGGTGTTGAGTCAACTTAAGGTGATGCGGTGTCCTGCTTGGTGGTTTTTATCGGTTTAAGACACTCTAAGTCATGGTGACAATGGTGATGTTTTTAATAATGGCGAATCAATTCCAAAGCGTAACGAATTCAACGTTTGTATTTTTATATAATAGGCAGTAACTTAACGTAACTAACTGATATCGAAGTATGCGTTGCGGATTGTGCAAGCGAACGTATTTATTTTGTGGATATTCTTATACTCAGTGTGCCTTTTATTTAGTTTGTACATGTTTTTAATAAAATAATATGAAAATAACTTACATTGTCAACGGATTGAACACCTCGACACTACCTGCTTGCACAAAACACTTCTTCTAACAAGTTCAAACAAGTAAAAACGTTTGTAAACTGTAAACAACCAAAAGAAACAACTGATTATCGCTGCGCAGTCATTGGTTGAATGAGAGCGTCGAAATCCGCAAAATCAGTGTCGCTAGCGGCATCTGTGCAGTCTCGGAGGAAGCTTAAAGGAAAACATTAATAATTGAGTAAACAACACGTAACCTCACAAAATGTGCATTCCGGGCGTGAAAGTTAGCAAACTTTCGCAGATATTTGTATTAACAATGGTCATATCAACGATATTATGTGATAAGGAACGCCGGTTGCAGATTGGTATCAAGAAGAGACTTAAAGACTGTGACCTCCGGACGAAAAAAGGAGATTTTCTTCATGTGCATTATAAGGTGACCTGTAAAACTTGTTTAACATTAAAAATTAATAACTACATATCAATAAGCTGCAGTAAAATTTTGTTTGTACTTAATTCTATGTTCATATTTTAATTTTCTCTAATATTTTGTAATAATTTTAGGGAATGTTTGAAACTGAAGATGAGTTTGACAACAGTTACATTAGAAACCAACCCTTTACATTCACCCTAGGGCAGGGGCAAGTTATCAAGGGTTGGGATCAAGGACTCATTGGGTAAATATGCATGTATTTGATGTTTTCTATTATTTTCTTATGTATTATCTATGGTAATTTTAATAAATTTAAGTTAAACTTTCTTTTTGCTAGTTTTTTGTTGATAACTTTTATGGAAATTGATATTTAATCACCAAATTTATTCTAGAGACTGTTGCGAATGTTTTATAGATGTGTTGCAAATTTGAAAGCAATTGGGCCAATAGTTTTGATAATAATCGAAAAATTGTTTCAAAATAAAATATTTTTCATGTTTTTCTTGATAAATTTTTTATAATTTCAAAGAAAAACTATAATATTAACTAAAATGTATTAAAAGATTAATTTCTACTCGTCATAAGAAGATTTCGTAATTAAATGAGTATTATTCCCATAATTTTTCTCAAAAAAGTACAATATTTTTGTTTTTTGAAATTCAAAGGATGTGTATTGGAGAAATAAGAAAATTGGTAGTCCCACCGCACTTAGGCTACGGCGAGAAAGGAGTACCCCCAACAATTCCACCCGAATCGACGCTTATATTTCATATCGAGTTGCTGAACATCGAAGAACGCGATGAATTGTAAGTCAATTCATTTGTAACAAACAAAAACGAGTCATTTTACTGACGAACGAACAAAGAAACAAACAAAGCTTTACGATTTACATCAAGAGTACATTATAAAAATACTTATAAGTATAATAATATCAATTCGATAATAATGCCAAGAATTATTTTAAATTTAAAATCTCATAAAAATTACAAAATCTCTCCACATCATAAACAATCTGCAAAGAAATAGTAGTTGTGCAGTTTAAATGTCTTAAAAGTAACAAAAACAAACAAATGAAACGTATTTTGATGAGCAAACATTTAAACATTTAAAGCAATAACATGTAATATATTCATATAGGTGTATATCTTATAAAAAGCCGTCAAAGCAGACAACATTTGAACCCACAACCAGTTTGAAAAAGACTTACGACGAACATTTTGCGCGATTGTTATACACTAGCGACATAACCTCACTGTTAGACTCTTGAATCTTATGAATACTCACCGTACTCACCACAATTGTGCAAACAGTTTGTGCAATCATTTTACGTGTTAGTAAAGTTGAAGACAGGATAGTTAGGCCTGAAGGTGTCGTTGTTCATGCGTGTGTACTCGTTGTCGTCCGAATCGCGTAGGTGTCTTGCACCGAACTGACTTTCTGTTAATGTAGGCACTAGAATACACACCCAGATAATAAATCAACTAGGGAACAAAAATGAATCAACGAAAACATAATATTAAACAAATCGAGCTTGAAATGAACAAAAACTAGGTTAGAATTCATACAATCATCATGATTGTACAAATCAAATCATAAAATTAGATGAATTACGTACCACTTGGATAAATACCACCTGGATTCGCCCATCCGGCTAAAGCATCACCACCGGCGGGTGGTGCCGATGGTTGCGGGAGAGATTCACGCATTGGTATTGTACCAATGGTTAAGGGAATCTGCGCAGTCAGGTTACTGTGCAATCCGGTGACTTTAGCTTCAATCTGTAATGAAATTCACACGAATTTATTCAATGACGATAAATAGTTGTAATTCTAGATAGGTAATGTGTAATTAATCGCACGGAACGAAGTCAATTACGAATTCGCAAGCATTTAAATCAATTTTAGCTCAAGTTTACCAAGTTTAACGTTTTTGAACGTCATTAATGTGTCTTGATGTCTTACCTCAATGTGATAAATGTTATTTAATGTCTAAATATTGTCAAAATTATTGTAAAACTTGAAAATTAATAAAGAAAATATTGAAATAATTATTCTACAAACATTTTAACCATTTATCGCTGTTTTTTATGTCTAAATTATTCTAAAACTTAAAAATTAATAAAATGATTGAAATAATGATTGTGCAATCATTTACTACTCACATATAATTCATAGTCCAAGTCAATGAGTGAGCAATTGACGAGATTCGACGGTGGCAGTGATGGAATGACCAGTGGTTGATTCCATGTCTTTGATTCGTGACCGGGGACAGGACCAACCGAGATGGTTTCGAGGACGACGATGTCTTTGCGAGTTTCGCGTTGTGGACGTTGCGATACGTAGTTGACGACTTTGCGAAAGACGAACTGCACGCTCTGGACTTCGACGTTGGAGGCGTTGTCGACTTCGCTGACTAGTGGGATTGTTTCGCCGGGGACGTAGCCGCGTTTTGGGATGGAGACGATGCAGGTGAGTGGGCCTGACTTGCAGCAGAAGCAACAGAAGAATTTTTCCATTGTTATACGTTGAGGGTCCTAGAAGTAAATAAAAATTGTGGTTTTTTGATTGTAACTTTTAAATAAACAATGATAGATGAATAATTCTTTTTCTAAGGAGTAAATCTGAATATTTTTGAGTAGAAGCATAAAATTTTTATGTTGATACAATTTTTTTTTACTAATTTTATCAAGTTTTTTTGCTTTTTAAAGTTTTTAAGCATTTTTTGCTATTTTTTTCTGCTGTAACTTCAGAATAAAAAGATATAGAAAGATAATTCTTTCAGCAACATGTAAAAATAACTAATATTAATCACTCTACTAAGATTTACGCTTCTATAATAACAATTATGACAGTTATTGCAACTTTTCGTGATTTAAACCTAGTTTTTCAAGGTTTTTCTGCAATAACTTTGTCATAAATAGTGATATACTACTAATTCACTAATCTACAAATTAATATGAATTATTTCAACCATATTTCTTCATTTTCCACAAAATAATTCCCATTTTCCAACCAAAAACCTCATATTTTCCTCAAAATACCCAATATTTTTACCTTAAGACTTGGATTAGCATTCAAATCAACCGGTGACAATACAGTAAAGGCAGCTTTAGTCTCCTGATCAAACTTCCACGGTCTATCAAGCACAACCTTGACGGTGTATCGCACATGACCAAACTCTCCCTCAAAAGACGAGGGCAGAGTAGGCGGCAGGACGCAAGTGAACGGGAACTCTTTAGTTCCGGCTGGTAATTCATGTTCTCCTCCACCAGCACCTCCGATAAGATAATACTGAGTTTTGAAGTATTCCTCAGATCCGGAGAGATCAATTCGCTCCTTTTCAGTCTCGTGAGTTTGATCATTCGTGCGAGACTCTTCGATTGCCCAGCCGGTTTGAGCTTCACCTTTGAACACAATGTAGACACCTAGAATACAAAGAATACGAGTGTCATTGTTTTTAATATATTAAGTATTGCGGGAATTTGTGATGTAACGGAGTCAACCGGACGTAACGATGTTTTTTTGACACGAAAACATCAATAACTCGAAAACTAAATGTGTTACGGTTGAAATTCCTGCGGTGATTGATAGTGTATTAAATTTAAGGTAAAATTGAAGTGTGTTATATCAATATTTGATTAAAACAAGACTTGAGAATAATTTTTAAGTTAAATTTTAATTTTTTTAAGGTTTTTGCTTGATAACTTTTGAAATAAATCAGTAATTTAAAAAGTTTTTGATGATTTATACCAAGAATTTAATGTAGAATCAATTCTTAAAAAATGATCAAAATATCATGTTGCGTTCACGAGTTATTTATTAAAAACTATGGAAAACATTGATGTTGCATGTTTTGGCAGATATACCGGAATAACGGTTTGAACCGGACGTAGCCATAACTTTATTCATTCATAACTCGAAAACAAATTAAGTTCGAATAATACAACTTGTAGTAATCGATTCAAATTTTAATTTAGCATAGATTAACGCTTTATAAATATTAATTTATTTATTATATACATGTCTAATTGCAAATTTAGTAATATTTATTAACCTTTGTAGTTTTTTGACTATAACTCTTAAAATAAAGTATTAACCAACTAGTAATTGGTATAATTAGATGCAAAATATTATACACTATCAATTACTGCAAAAATTATAACAATGACATCATTCCTTAAAGAATTATTAATAAAATTCTCTGGAAAAACGACTCATGACCGTTTCTGAGGTTAGAATCGCTTTCCATACAAACTTTGAGCGATTTATGTTAATATTAAACGTACCTCTAACTTTTTTGGTTGAATCAAACGAGAAAACGACTCGCCCATTCACCGTTTGTCCAGCATAATATGTGCTGTATGGATTATCGAAGAATATCTGACATTCTTTGAGCCCCATTTTCGCGCACTGCACAACTTTACACTTACACAGCGAAAACGCGACACAAAGTGCTAATCTGGCAAAACGGACGAAACGAAAGTAAACTAATCAGATCGAAATAGATTCTCGCGGGGGACTTGTCCGCGGCTAACAGCTAACCGGTTGACATCATCGCGTTCTTTTTGAGGTCAAAATAAATAACATCTTACATCATGCGACTCAGGAACACAGAAACACGAATTCATTTGTTGTTCAAGTTTAACATCTGAGGTAGGCAACAAATTCTACTCACAAACTTACTGAACTGCACTAACTGCATTCACTGACCTAACCTTAGAAGAACTCTTTTTAATTATTTATTACTAATGTTATCCAAGTGTATATAAAGCTCAAATGTTATCGGATAAATTATTTGAATATGCTTTTATTACTTACATGTACTTAGTTTTTGTATATTTTCGTTTTTTATTTTAAACGATGTGCACTTTGACAATAAAAATGTACATTATTAGGCAACCAATATTACGTTAACATACATACTAACTATGTAGTTTTCACTAATTCCATTGAACTAATTCTTAAAATCTAATTATTTAATAATTTAAAGTGTGGTGAGACAACAAAATGCCCTCCTGGAGAAGATAAACACAATTTCGACTATTTTAAATGACGCCGAACGAAGTAGTGATGGAATTATCACTGAATATATCAGAAGATGAGAACTGCACCTTCATCACCAGCAATCTGCTGGAACAAAGCGAGAATTTCGACGAATGGCTCGACAAAAACGGCGTACACTTCATCATCAACAATGAACGCCTCTCAGACAATACCTCGCTTACAACCAACCCACTGGATCCGCTCTTAAATCAACTAAATGTGTCTGAAAATGAAGCTGAGGTTATCCACTCAGACCTACTACAATCAGATGTAAAACCATACAAATTCACTGGTTTAACATGCAAGAGTCAATATCTAGAACACCTATTCCAAAAAGGCATCATCTACGTTGAGTTTCAACAAGTTACAGGCAATCAAACCAATGAAAATCAATTAAAACTGAGTTTTACCAACTCCACTTTATCAAACGCCATAAATGTGTTTCCTACATGCTATATCAATCTAAATGAAGTTGGAGGACAATTATCTATACCAAAAGAACGTGTATCAGTGATAACAATTGAAAATCTAGCATTAGCAGATGATTTAGATGCTATAATGACATGTTTAACACTCAGCACAGGTTTAAAACTATTCATATGTCCACAAATTGAGTGTCAAGCAGTCTACACTCGAATAGCTGCTGGAAAACTACACTCCCTGATGCATTTAGGACATAAACCATTTAAATGCAGCCATAGTGACTGCACATGGGCATTCTACACTAGTTTTAAACTCCGTAGACATCAAGAATCACATCTGAATCATAAAGATTTCATTTGCGAAGTGTTAAACTGTGGTAGAAGATTCACAAACATTTACAACTTGAATATTCACGTGAAGAATCATGCACGACCTGCGACTTTACCATGTCCTGTGACTGGCTGTGGTCTAAAGTTTCAAACATCAAGGATGCGAGAGAAACATTTCAAGACACATGATATTTCAGAAGCGCCATTTGTGTGTCCTGAAGAGACGTGTTCCAGGGCGTTCTTTTTGATGACTGGATTGCAATCACATGCGAGAAGTCACTCGCATAAAGATTCAGAGGTGCGGTGCGATTATCCAAATTGTGGGAAGGTGTTTAAGCTGCCATGCAGGTTGAGAGAGCATGCGAGGGCGCATACGGGTCAAAGGCCGTATGTGTGCGATTATGATCAATGCACGTGGAGTTTTACGTCTTCTAGTAAGTTGAGGAGGCATCAGAGTTCGCATAAGAATGAGAGGAAGTTTCATTGCACGATTGGGGATTGTAGCAAGAGTTTTCTAAGGCCGGAGCATTTAAAAGAGCATACGCTGACGCATATTGGGCCTAGGACATATACTTGTGAAGGTAAACAAAGTATTTTATATATTAGCTGTGATTTTGGCCAAAAATTTGGGAAATTTATGTTTTTTGGTTGTAGTTTTGCATAAAAAACGGAAATTTTTGTTCTTGTTCAGGTTTTTGACGTTTAAACATGTATAATTGTTAAAATATGCATTAATAATGATTTATTGTTGTTTGCAGTGATAGTTTATAGTATAAACTATATTTTGGTGAAAGAATTTTGAAAAATTTTGTGTCTTTACAAATTTTTCTAAAAAAGTTGTTTTTTACTAAAAATTTTACATCTAAATAAAAAATCCTTTTACACAGTGATAATTCAAGTAATTATTTATAACTACACAAAATTTCATGTAAATCTATCAAGTGGTTTTCCCAAAATTTAATTTTTTAATATAAATTTTTACTTTTTTGTTTTAGTTTGCTCAGCAAGTTTCGTCGGCTTGCCCGGAAAAACCTCGCTCTACCTCCACATAAAAAAAGCCCACCCTGAGATACAACAGTGCGCCCGAGCCGTCCCCTTCGCCCAACAACAAGAACCCACTCAACCCCAACAGGACCACAAACCGACCCCCGACATGCTGCTCGAGCAAGCAATTCAAAGCCTTGGCGTGCCATCCGACATGATACTCGGCACTGGACTTATCCCTGAAGAATCACTAGAACTCCTCGAAAACGGCAACTTTTCAACGGTCAACCTCCGCGATTTAGAATAAAAAAAAGCTTTAAAACCCACACAGAAGTAAACAAACGTATCTTAACCCAATATACGTAAACAGAATATTTTTGTGATGATCATTAAGTTTCGAACGCTCATCAGCTTTCTATAAATAACTCATAACTCTATTTGCTTGTTGCTGCCACTGAATTTACGCGCAGAAAGTGTGTGGGGCGTGGGAACATTTACCTGGATTCCAGTTTTAACGATAGAACTAGACCCGGCTAGAACTAACGACTTTATGCGCGCGACGTCGTCGTCTCCACTCATTACGTCCAGCGTCTAATGAATAAAATCAAATCGAAGTGTGTGGTTGGCTCGTTACTACTCGCAGAACCAGAACTGCGCGAATAGATCATGTACGACTACTACAAATAGAAATAGATTCAACTTGGATGATTGCATTCCGAGAGAGGATTTTTGTTTCGAAAACGCTCGCCAATCGCTTCAAACGCTTATGATCAGTGAAGTTTTTGTTTTGTTCTGCAGCGCGCCATTGATTTCTATCATTATATTATATTATACATTGTTGCATTGTAATCCGTCATTTTGCCATTTGATTAATCTTTGTATTTTGTTGCTAGTGCTTTTTTGCTTTAATAGAAGTTGTTTTTGCTTGCGATTAACTGAGTTATTGTAATTCGATAAACATGTTGAAGTTTGAGGGTGTGGATGTACATAACTATGTAAACCCTGTACAACTATTAATATATTATGTATTTATGGAAGTTTTCTTTGTTTTAATTCCTAACTTAGTCGTCCAATAAAAATTAGGCACAAAATTTTAAGAAAAAAACAATGGTTAAGGTTGCTCTATTTTTGATTATCAAAAGTTTTCTTTGTTTTTTGTTTCGTATAATATTTAAACATTGGAAAATGTAACTTATTTTGATTTCTTGTGAAAATCTCTATAATTTAACACCAAATTTGTTAAAATTGCTTGAGTTTTACAAAAGTTACAAGCAAAATAAGAAATAAATTCAAAGAATTTTATTTTTTCATTGTAGGCAACCCCTGCTACACATCTGAATACTTGGTCATAACTTCTACGCGCTATTTTATTCCCTTAATAAAAATAATATCATTATAATTACTTGTAATTGACATTAAAAGTAATTACATCGATTAAACACCAATTCACCAAATATTCCACGCAATGAAACTTGAGTACTTACTTACTTAACTCGTTTAAAATCCCTATTTTATCGGAAACCAATGAAATCACGCAACATTTCAACAATAACTCATAACTCAGCGTTTTCTTTTGATTAGTAATACAATTAAATAGATTTGCTGACGCTTGTCAAAATGTAACTTATCATAAAATAGGCGCAAATAACCAGAAACGGTGAGTGGTAATTATTAACCAGAAACAAAACTCAAAACAACGTGGTAATAAAATGATTCAAAAAGATTACAGCTGACAATTCTTGAAATTATTCGTAATTATCAAGATATAGAATAAATGCATAAAAATAGGTCATGATGAGTATGATAGAAATATGCCAAACGTGACTATAAAAGTAAACCATGCCAAATGAGTGGAGGTATATAATATAACGTCCATTACGTTAAATTGAATATTTTAAGGTTAGAAATGTTGAATTGGAGCGCAAACATGCACATTATATTATATAACTGCAGAGATTTGCAGATTGTTGCTGGTAGATTATATAATCTGCAGATAATTACAGCCAGATGAATTATAATGGCGACGTGTGAACTTGAAACGTGTCACAAAAGTAAACTAAATGTGTTTTAACACGTTTTACTTCATTTTCAACAATTAAATTGTTTATCTTAAGTATTGCATCATGTTGGCAAAAAATTAATTAGATAAAGATTCATTTTTGATAAAAAATGTGATTATTGATTAGTCATAATTCATAATAAATCGAATTTGAAAGTTTGATTACAATATTAGTTAAATTAATTCTTAGAAAATTGAATTTGTTACTAAATCGCTTATAACTCGAAATCTAAAAATGGTAGAATATTGATTGAAGTGTGATTAGAAAGGATATTTAAATGACTATTAATTATGTGAATTTCATGTTTGTACGTTAAGTAGAAGTTAGGTTATGAGCAAATTTATGTCAAAATATTTGAAAATTTGGTCAAAAAAGTAATTCGGAAAGCATAGATTTCCGATTTTAAATATAATATAATTCAGGTTCTAAAAATGATAGAATATTGATTAAAGCGTCGTTTGAAAGATAATTTAAAGGACTTTTAATTTTGTGAGTTTCAAATTTGTAGGTTAAGTAGAAAATAGGTTATGAGCAAATTTATGTCAAAAAAGTTGAAAATTTTCTATGAAACAAATAATTTCACATGTTTCTAAATAAAATCTGAACAAAACTTCTAATTTTTAGCAAAAATATCTTATTTTATAGAGGATGAATTAAGAAATCTATCAAGCTATAAAAAATATCAGTGACAAAACAATGGCGACCTTTGTATCCTCTCAAAGTTTTGTAAAACATGCAAAATTCTCCACATGACAAAAACTGCAACTCAAACGTCTGTGTGTGATTGTTGCGATGCGAAAAACGAGATACACGATACACATGCACCAGCTTGGATTTCCTCAACGGCGAGACAGACCCAGGATAGTATTACATAAGTGCCAGACTTGCCGACTAAGTGACGCACATACTCCCCTCAAAACCACAAACCACAAAAGCCCAAATCAACAAAAATATATCAATCACAACATTCAATCAACCGGAATGAAGTAATCCGAAGGCTGCGCGCATCCTCAGAAAGCGATCGCGAGCGCATAAATTAGGTTACGGCTTCCGGTGCCGCTGGTGGAGGTGTCGGAACAATTAGCGTTTACCGATTGTGCAATCGTCGGCGGTTTTCTTTTCGCCGCCGGCAGCGTTTTGTTGCTGCAAAGTGCAACACGAGCACAAACCTACACACAGAAATAGACACAGAGTGTAGTGCAAGTTCACGCCAGCACAGATCCATAAATTAGCTGCTTGCTAATTACGCCAGCTTGCCGCAAAACTCGCGTTTCTCGCGTGAAAAACCTCACCGATGATTGCCCAATGGCCGACGCGCGCAAGGATGAAAAATTCCAATTACGTGTGAGTGTGTTTCAATCACACTGCACTCTCGAACCTTTCAATTTCGTTTCGCAGACATTTCAAAACTAATCCACGCACACACACCGATACGCATTATATGTGTTTTTAGAGCGTTGCGCGCTCATTTCACTTGCAATGAAATGCGGCAGGCTGGCTGCGCGGATGAATTGGCAAAAGTGAAAAAGAAAGTTGTGGTGTATTTGCTGACGCAACGCCGCACTAATTGCTCAATTGTGTGTGAGTGTGTGTTCTATTTTTCAGGCGTTTGTGCGCGCAATTTTTATCGCAATCGCGATCGCGCCGCCGAGGAGCGAAAAAAATTGATCGCGGCGCAGAGAAAAAGTCGGACGAGAACGGTAAATGCGCGACACGACGCAAATATATCTATGTGATTATGTGTGTAGATTCTACTGGCTGATATTGCTATTTTGCTCTCGAGGAGCGACACGCGCCGAAGAGTTAGTTGGGTCAGCCCCAGAGCCAAGTTCCGGGTACAGTTTATATTTCATTCTAAATGTGTGTGTGTGTTGCACAAACGAAAACAAAATACCGTATTAAGCACCGATTCAAAAGTGCGACTCAATTTCGTTTCACTGGGCACGGCGCAATTCATTACCGTTAATTGGTCAATCGAAAAACAAGCAGACCCTTTGATGTGTCGAAAAATGTTTCAAAGCGCTGTAACTTTGCTTCTAATGCATCGATTTTGACGATTTTAGCTTTATTTTGTTCCAGATTTTGTTCTAGTTTTAACTGGATCACTAACATGTTAGAAATTTTTTGTATAAATTGGTTTTATTTTGTAATTTATGAAAAATTTCATAAGATAAGTTTAGTTTGATATAACTTTGAGGTTATGAAAGTCATCTCACTTTTTTCTTTGATATTCTAATCAATAACTCTTCCTCTATTGAATGATATATTTTTTGTTAAAATGCTGTTAATATTTTGGGAGTGATTGTTGTTTAAACTTGGTAAATACCTGATAGAAGTAAAACTACATAAAATTTATGTTAAATTAATTTTTAAAACGCTGTAACTTTGTTATTAGCCATTCGATTTTAGTGATTTTTTCTTTATCTGATCCCAAATTTTATATATTTTAATATTTACTACTTGGTTTTTATTTTTATTTTGTCAAAGTAACATTTTTTTAAGTATTTGCATGTTTTTGACTAAATGTTTTTTGGTTAGTTATAACTTTGAGGTTATGATAGTGACATCAATGCCACCTATGCAAATATCAACTCTTACTCTTTATTTACCATATGAGATATTAACCAATCTTCTACCTCAAATACTTTAGGAAATATTCAGCATTAAACAAAAAAATCTACGAAAAAAAGCCGCAATTATTCAAAATCTACATTTTGAATTTATAACCACGAATAAAATTAAAATTTTCAAAAAATTTGACTAATTGTCGATGAATAATGTATGTGTGCAAAAGTCTCAAAAATCCCAGCGCGTATGGCTTGAAGCCTCGCCGTTGAAGATCACGCTCTCAAGGATCAACTCCTAGGTACGCGCGTACAAGCACACAAGTATTTTATGCAAAGCAGAGACGCCGCACGGTTGTTAAAGGTTGTGGCCGGTCTCGTTGTCTTCGCCCGTCCAAAGGTCCAAATACGGCCACCAGTCTTCTTCTCTTCGGGCGGCGCGAGCGCAATTTCGTCCTTGCCCATTCGCGTTCATGATCAATTTGCATATTAATCTGCACGCGGGTAAGGTTTATGCTAATCCGCGGCGCACACCAGCGCCAAATTTGCCAAATTTAGCCCGAAAAAAATTCGCTCATATTACGCAATTCATACAATATATTAAATATTTCTACTCGTAATTGCTCGCATTGTTTGATACGGTAAAATTCCACCAGCGTTGCGTAAAATAAAATAAATTAAAATATAAATCAAGTGACCAACAGGCGAGTTTCACTTCTTTCTCGATCAATCCGATAATTTCACTTAGTTTTACCGAAATTCCAACGGAATAGTTTTGAACTTGAATCGGATTAGCAAGGCGTTAGAGAATGCAAGATGGCCGCGTGTTGTTTTTGTTTGTTTTGCAATGATTTTTCGAAGAAAAAGAAAGTTTTGAGCGAGCGGTAGGATTTCCTGCTCGTTTCAAATTCGAATTATGTCAGTTGACGAAACTGTTTTTGTTTATTACGGTCGCGCGGCTGGGTAAAAAGTGTTACGTCGACACGTAAACACGACAATCAAAATATGTATACCTACGCCGGGTTAATTAATAATCGGCGGCGCGGATGGTGCGCGCGCGCGCGTTTTGCAAATCGAAGAACTGCTGAGCGCACCGCGATTTGCAGACGGCGGATTATGTAGAACACCTTGTCAGGTCATTTTTGTCGCGCTAATTCTAATCGACATTAAATTACTTCCAACTGCGAGCATGGTAAATAATAATCATGATGAAATTTATTGCGTTTTTTCTTCCATTGCGGTTTGGTCTTAAAAGCGGAAATGTTTGAATGGCGATAACTCGTTAAGTATTAGCGGTACGGAAATTGTTTATACATCATTTAAGAGAGGATGATTTATTGTTTGTTACCTGCTTAAAAAATTACCATGATGTCACTTGTTTAACCTCAAAATTGTAAAAAAACAATTTTTTTCGAAATATTTTAGAAAATATTAATTTAAACAATATTACGCAATTATTTTAATAAATATTAATACAACGTATTAAAGTTTATTAAATTTGTGATAAGATAAAAAAGAAATCACGAAAATCGGTGTGCAGAATGTTGAGTTACAACAATTTAAAATATTTACTTCTGTTTTTGCTTGATAAATTTACTGAAACAAACTTTAAACCGTAATAACTTTTAAAATATTATTCGTATATAAATCTTTTAAACATAGACACAAAGAGGAAGAACTATAGATTAAATTCCGATAGGTGGCGCGCATGTGCAATTTATAACCTCAATTTTATACCCTATTGAAATTCATTTGTGTAAATATCACAAAATACTTAAGTAAAAGTTACTTACACCAAAAAGATGATAAAAATTAGTGATTTATATTCAAGTTGATTAAATTCTACATAAAATAAAATATAAATTACTTGGATTCATCAACAGAACGTTGAGAAACTACGTTTTAAAAATTTTTTTGCTAAAAATTTTACTTTTTCTTCATTTTAAACATGAAAAATAAGTATTTTAATTATTTTATGATTTATTTATAACTTAGAAGAGTGTTAAATGTTGATTATTGGATTTTTAAAACTCTTATAACCTCAAAAATTAAGAACTTTTAAAAAATTAATTTTTTTTATTTATTTTTTCTAATTCTATTTCTAGATGCAAAATGAAAATATTTTTGTCATTTGCATCTAGTGCTTAAGTCATTGCCGAAGATAACTAGCAACTAGACACATCTTCTATGACTGACCCATTTAGCCGAGCACGTTATGGAATGAGGATGGCACAATGGCATTTTCGATTTCTTTCGATGGCGTAACCGTCGAGAACAACTTTTCCTCGCTCGCCGGCGCACACACACACGGCTGTTACGCCACGCGGCTCTTGATTTCTTCATCTTCATCGCCGGCGCGCGCTCGTCTCTCGCGTGAATTTTGAACTTGACTTAGACCTCGACTTCGAGCGGCAGCGCGAGCGCGTGCAACAGCACCAGCCCGAGGAAGAGGATAAGTGCTTGGCGATACCGACTCTTTTCTAATCGGCGAGCATTTCCTATTTGGTCGCCATCCTAACGATAGCGACAGCGACGACGACGGCGAGCGTCGCTTAATTGGTATTAGGTATTCAGTATTAGAACGGTATAATGGTTTCGCTTCAGCATCAGGTGCGATCGAATGCATTCGACGCCAATAAGGAAACGCCGCGGCCGCAATCGGCAACCGGCTTCGAATGCTTAGAAATTGCTTAGATGGACGACTAGATAAACTCTCCAGAAGGTTCTCGAATCTGCGAGTACAGGATGTCACAGAAAGCGCGCATTCCAAGCAACCAATATTTTTTTAACTTTCGGAGCTGATTACTGCTCATAATCAAGTCAAACAAAACATAACATAATCCAATTCTAGAGATACATAAATTATCTTCAATTTGATGCCAAATATTATTAAATTAATTAAATACTTTAGAAGTTATCGACAAAAAAAGTAAAACAAAATTAATATAAAAAAATTTAAAACTTTTTTGATCTAAAACAGTAATTATAAAGAATTACGCAATAATATTTAAAAAAAAATAGTGAATTATATTAAAGTTAATTAAATTTGCGATAAGATAAAAAAAGAATCACGAAAATCGGTGAGCAAAATATTGAGTTACAACAATTTAAAATATTTACTACTGTTTTTGCTTGATAAATTTACTGTACCAAACTTTAAACCGTAATAACTCATAAAATATAATTCGTAAATAAATTTTATAAACATAGACACAAAGAGGAAGAACTATAGATTAAATTCCGATAGGTGGCGCTAATGTACCATTTATAACCTCAAATTTATACCCAATTGAAAGTCATTTGTGTAAATATTACAAAATACTTAAGTAAGCAATATTTACACTTTACCAAGCAGTTTTCAATGTGTTCCAACTATAATTTTATACAAAAGCCTCAAAATAAGCAAGAAAACCAAATGTTTTTCCAAAAAATTAATTTTTCCGAAGGGCAATTATCAAGTAAAGCAAAAAAATCGAATTTATCCCATTTCTGGACGAAATATTTTGCAATTTCCTGTATGGCGCTGCAGTTCAGTGAATTTAGCGCTTAGAGAAAGGTATTAGCTAACAGTAAAGTTAACTAGCTCAAGTATCAACGAGCATCAATGAAATTGGCAACCGCACGTACGTACGTGATCGCCAACATGCTCGATGGCTGGATGCTTGTCGCACCTCTCTCGCTTATCGCGCAAACCTTCATTTTCAACATCGTCACACTTCTTCTATCGCAAGCGAAATGAAAACACCAAACGTATACACAACCACACGCAAACATTCGCGCATTGCGCCCGCGGGCGTCTCTCCACCTAACTGTACCCGCCATCAATCATCAATCAAGAGAGTGAGTGCGCATCATCACCATCGGCAGGTATCACATTGTTCGCAACCTACAAATAACTGTAGGTACGATTCCGATGATGATGATGAAATTGTTTCGGCTCAAAAGTCATGCACGGTCAAATTTATTACGTGAGGTCATGCACTCTGGTGAATGCCCTAGGACGAAAGGTAATTGCGCTTTGGACCCGTGAAAACGAAAGCTTTCACAATCGCTACTTTCGATTTGGCGTGCGGAGGGTCAGTGCCACCTCTGCACCCTCTTCACCCGACGCAGCGCTCAGCTAGAGACTTAAATATTTACAATAATAATTTCGGCGCGGCTTTTGCAATCGGCGAATCAAAATATTTTCATATGACGTTATACAAACAGGAACAAAAAACTCTAACTCTACGAAAACATGTTACCCAAAAAAAATCGCCAAAAAATCCGCGTTGTAAAAAAGCGCGTAATAATCACCGAACGGATTTGTCCGTGAATTGATTCGGAACGAGTTTTCGTCCAACACGCGCGCATACAGATGTGACAAAAGCGGAGGTAATATACATAGCGTTCCGACAATGTTTATCAACAGGTTTATTATTACCACGCTGGTAATTGTTGATTATTATCGAATAATATGTGTTCGAAAGCGCGGCAAATAGTTTGGGCGCAAATATTTTGGACTTTTCGCCAAACACCGCCGGGTGTGTTTTCGCGCGGGCGTGCGCGCTGTTTGTTTAATTTTTGCATGTGCGAAAAAAAAAAATTCATCATGCCCTGGCCTAGCAACCTAGCACCGATGTGCGACCTTGGAAAAATGCAAAATGCGAAAATTCGACGCAATTAGGGCCTCAACATGAATATTACAATGTAGGTAATAAAATTACGTGGTAATATAGGTTAGTCGTTAATTAGTTCTAACCAGCTGCTCCCGTTCCACCAGGGATACTAATTAGCTGCTCATCTGCGGCTAGACGCTAGACGATTTAATGATGAAGCACCAGCTGAAGCGCAACACTCAAAAACAACAACAACAAACGCACGGAATTACTTAAGACACAGATTAAGCCACGCTGGGGTGCGAGGGCGGAGACTAAGCATGCGTAGTGCGCCGACGCCGTGCGCTAAGTCACTCCGGCGCGTAGTGGGAGTGAATCTACGCGCGCGGATTGGTCGCCGCGCGGCGCGCTCGCAAGCGCAAGAGCTGCTTTAACAGGGTTGCTTGGCTAAGTTTCGTATCAGTACAAGTCCGGCGATCGTGCGTGACAGTGCGCGCCCGGCAACACACTCACACATAATCTACTCATACACACACGCATCCACCCACCTCACCTACTCACCCACCAACAATACTTTAATCAAATCATAAATCAACAAAATGTGCATCCTGATTGTGCTCGCGATAATCGCGGTGGTGCTCGCCACTGTCGCCTTTGGACGGCGTGCCGCCCCTGGCAACAACCCCCAGTCGATCGGAGGTGATAAGGACCTACGTCCGCCTCCTGGTCCCCGACCACTACCCCTCATTGGTAGTTTACATCTGCTGGGCACGCACGAAACGCCCTTCCAGGCGTTCACGGCGCTCAGCAAGAAGTACGGCGATGTGTTCAGCATCACTCTCGGGACCACAAAGTGTGTGGTCGTCAACAACTTCAATCTCATCAAGGAGGTGCTCATCACCAAGGGCGGAGACTTCGGGGGACGCCCTGATTTCATCAGATTTCATAAGCTCTTCGGAGGCGATCGCAATAATTGTAAGTTGACTTAACACTCACACACAGAGAGACACATGTAAACACCTTGTGCTAATTGGAGCGACTTCCGGGTTGCGATTAACATCTGCGGAGTAGTGTGCGCAACCCTGACTTAATGATAATGACATTGCCTTCGAAATGTTGTGCATAAATTTCTGGACCGGTCCCGCCCAGGAAAGGACGAAAGTCACATTTTTCATCTCCAAAGTGACTTAAGTCATATTGCGTCGATTGCGCGTATCCGCGTTTAGGACTTTTACTAGCTCTACTCCACTCATTCATGGTAATATAGCTTAGTACTACAACTAGATAGCCCTGAACTTGAACTTGAAAGTCTAGCACTGTTGGCAGCGCGTCGCGTTTACCCACAGACACGCTCCAAGGCTTTGGGCTGCTGCCTGTCGGCGCAGCAGGCCGCTCCGCATCGAAAACGAAGTTAAAACAGAAACAGAAGAGAAAAAAATCACACTGACACACACACGCACACACACATAGGTACACCAAGCCATCTACGCTTGATCTCTCTGCGTAGGCGCCCAAAATTGACGGCTATGCAAATGACTCCCAATTACGCCGCAACCAAATTTAGCAGCTCTCGCAACTGTATACTACGCCAGTGCATTTTTTTTGTTACACGCCGAGAGTCGTTGCCCGACGCCGCTGGTCATCAACATCTCAACCATTTCGATTCGGATTGCAAAATCGGATTTTTTGCACTCACACATTGCTACACACACAGATGCCGCGAATGCCACCTTGGTCTATAATGCTAGTGGCGATATTCTAATTTCGTTCGTACGTGTGTTCGCAAACTGGTTTTCAAACTCCGCGCCGCGTTCGTCTTCCTAAGTCTAAGACACTAAGACCGCGCATCCAGTCGCAGAGACTAAGCAAAAGTTGCTCGTCGTTGGTGTTGTTGTGTTGGCCGCGTTTCCCGAGGAAACTCGTCGTGATGACTTTGGTCTCATTTTCGTTAGGGTTATGCAAATGAGGCTGTCATCCCGGTCGGTGGATTTTATTCGCCGGCGAAGAGAAATCCAGAAACGTAAAAAAACACAACAACACACACGAGTGATAGAGGCCAAGGACAAATCACCGTTAGCGAAATCTCCTCGCTTACCCACACTCCCATGCTGGTTGTGTTGTATGTGTGTGTGTGTATGAGATGTGTGTCTAGAGATGCGCGACCAGGTCAAAGCCAAAAAGACACCCGTAGGCCTCGAGTAGGACTCGACCCTGACCACTTTCAGTCGTCTTCGCCCTTTTTTTGCAAGCTGAGCACTCAGCGCGCGCGCGTCTACTCTCGCTTACACTCTCGTACCGTAAAACAACTTTGTGATGATGTTGATCTCCTTTTTTCTTGCAGCGCTTGCTCTATGCGACTGGTCGGCCCTTCAAAAGACCCGCCGTAGTATCGCCCGGACGTACTGCTCGCCACGCTTCACCTCCCTGCAGTACGACCATGTCAACCTGGTCGGTTCCGATGAGGTCAAGGTGTTCCTCAACGCCCTACAACAGAAGGACACCTCGGTGCCCATCGATGTAAAACCCTTGGTCCTTGCCGCTTGCATGAACATGTTCACCCAGTACATGTGCTCAACCAGTTTTGATTATGAAGATGATCACTTCAAACACGTGGTGCGTACTTTCGACGAAATCTTCTGGGAGATCAATCAAGGGTATGCAGTTGACTTCCTCCCATGGTTACTACCAGCTTACAAGGGTCACATGAGGAAGTTGGGTGATTGGGCTTCGGATATCCGACAGTTTATCCTCACGCGTATCATTGATGAACGCCGCCTTGCTTTGGATACCACCCTACCTCCAAGGGACTTCACCGATGCTCTTCTCATTCATTTAATTGAAGACGAAGCAGACCGGAAGCAACAAGAATACGAAACAAAAAAAGCCCGCCTACAAAAATCCCCACAACCGGAAGTCAACACATCAGAAGAATCTACAACGACCACTGATGAATCCGGTGAGAACCTCAACTGGCAACACATCATCTTCGAACTAGAAGACTTCCTGGGAGGACATTCCGCCATTGGGAACCTCATCATGATCACCCTAGCTTCAGTAGTAAGCCGGAAGGACGTAGTGAGAAAGATCCAAGCTGAAATTGACTCTGTCACCGGAGGTCAAAGACTACCCACTCTCCTGGATAAAGAAAACATGCCTTATACCGAAGCCGTCATCTGGGAAGCCCTTCGAACAGCTAGCTCCCCAATCGTCCCACATGTAGCAACCACCACCACAATGATCGACGGCTACCGGGTAGACCAAGGTACTGTCCTCTTCGTCAATAATTACGAATTAAACGTTGGGGAAGCCTACTGGGACAAACCGGAAGAATTCCTCCCGGAGCGTTTCATCTCCCCAGCGGGTCACGTCGTCAAACCAGCCCACTTCATCCCCTTTAGCACCGGTAAACGCACGTGCATCGGCCAGCGCCTTGTGCAGTGCTTCAGTTTCCTGCTCGTCGCTGCTCTGTTTCAGAATTACGACATTGAGCAAACAGAGTCCATCCACCTGGTGCCCTCTTGCGTTGCGGTGCCGCCCGACGCGTTCAAATTGAGGTTAACGCCGCGATCATACGAATAAACTCTCCTCCTCCTCACACACGCTCATGCATTTTGTTTTTGTTTTTTTGAACGCGCGCGTATTATATTAATATTTTCGCTCACTGCTCACACTGCCGCAATCAATAACAAATCTTTTCGCTCATCTCGTCGCAGACATCTATCAACATCACCGACCCCCTCCACTGGAATCGCGTTTTTATCATAAACGTTATTATTATTTTTATTATTATATCATAATTATATTTAACATGGTTAGTACGAAAAGGAAGACACAGCAGATATTTTTTTATGTTTCCATTACTCCTTGTATATATATGTGTGTATCACTCTGTCACTTGTCTTTGTCTTCACTCTCTCTCTACTAGCACTGTCGTCTCATTGTGAATTATGTATGTAAAAAAGAACGTTAGCTATTTATATAAATATATATATTATGTATTTGTAAAACATTTTATGTCGTAAGGTCTCCAGATGTTATGTTCTATGTATTGAGACTGAATAAATATGTATTTTATTTTGCCATGTATTGAAAAAATATGGGGATATAAGTGAAAGTTTATATAGAAATACACTTTTTAAACAAAAATTGATAATATCCGTGTTTGTTTCTTTAAAAAAATCAAACAAAAATTATTTTTTAGGGAAAAAGACATCAGTCGAAATTTTAAATAATATTTTAGCAAATAAAATATGATTTTTTAATATTTTACTGAAAATTTAGTCAAAATTTGAAGTTTTTCTAAATTTTTTGAAGCTTTTTCAACAAAAATCTCTATTATTTGCCAAGGCAATAAAGTAATCATTAAAAAACAACCAATAACATATTTATTATTAAATTTTCTTTCATTTGACACCTTAACCAATATTCTGGGATTTTATATACCAAAGATATTAGCTTTCAAAGTTGAATATTTACTCAAAATTGTACTTTTTAAGTGATTTCTCCCAGAAAAAATTAATTTTAAAGCAAAATATAAAAAATAAATGATGTTTTTCGTACTATTCTATAAGTTTAGATAAAAATCCATTAATATTTTACTTCCAATTCCCTAAAAATTAAATTTTAAAACAAAAAAAATGCAATTTTTTCTTTAAAAAATTCACATTTGTAAGTAATTTAAACATTTATCTACAAAAAACCTTATTTTCATGTATCAGGGAAAAATTTCATAATTTTAATTTATTCCCAATTAAATTATCTTTCAAATGCTGCTTCAATCAATTTTCTCCGATTTCGAATACCCAAGATATACGAGTATAACTACTAACCTAAGTCAACTCCAACATCCGGGTTGTTATCATATGTTATACGTCTCCGAAGACACGAACATTTTTTATCTAGGTGCTTTTTTTCTCTGTTTACCTTGAACCTACCTCTACCCGAAAGATATTGACAACCGAATTGATTGTCCGCCCAGAAGTCACTTCAGTTCATAACCATTCATGCCTTAATTTAGTGCTTCTATTTTGAATATCAAAAGCGCAGACACTTTGAGCAGAACAAGTTCGATAAGCGCGCGTTCGTTCGTTTTTTTTTGTGTCCGCGCGCGTCGTTTCGTCGTTTTGTGTCGATTCTTTGTTGTATTTATTCTCGGCCGTGATTAATTTCCTATGATTTATCTCCATCGCGTGGTGTAACATCGAGGAGTTCTTATCATGCCGCGGCTTCTTTTTTTTTTTCTCTGATTGCTGACGTCTGTACGTATCGCCAAGGACGGCTTTTTTTCGCTTTCATTCAAAAATTAATTTTTAGCAAAAAAATTATAAAAAAATAAAATAAAAATCTTTTTAAGTATAAAAACTCGTAAAAATTTAAGTGTACATGAAGAAAATTTAATTGCTTATCAGAAAAACCGAAAATCTCGTAAAAAACTCTTAAGTACACTTAAATATCCCAAAATTCCGGGGCCAAAAGCAAAACATTTTTTTTATAGCAACGTCTCATTACATTTCGGCATTATGCAGCACTTATCCACCAAACTTGTTGCATTTTTTCATGCGTGCGTTGAATAATTTGCATACGTTCCCCGTCTGGAAGTCTCGAGATAAAACTCGTTACGAGGGGCACGACGCACGCACGACTGACTTTCGGGACACGGCGTTATCGCGCTCGCCGTCGAAATCGAATTCGTGTCGTTTTTTCGGAGCCACAGAGAAAAAAATCGAAACCGATCGTATACGTATGATATACGTACGTACACTTATTTTCCACCGGCCGCCCAAAGGAATTAACATACGAGTACGCGCGCGCGCGCCGATTACGTAATATGCTAATTCCACAAACGCGCCGGCGAGCTTTTGATTCGATTCGATTTCCTCTCCGGCCGAGGACGAAATTTAAGCCCACGCGCGCATCTCGTTTCAAGTTCAAGCCATAATTTATTTCTTCGGTACACGCACATGTCGCGCTGGTAATGTAAATGTGGGCGAAAAAAGTCTCCGAGTATCATATATACATACTCAATAATGATGATAGTATAAAGTAATTAATTGATATATCATCGGAAATGTGTTATCGCACGACTAAAACATGGCGTACGCAACTCGGACGCGGGGTGCGGGCACCAGAAGAAGCGCACTGTGTTCACGGTTCACTGGCTGATGATGTCCGTCAAGAGACGCAATTATAAGCCAGTAGTGTATCGCGATAACCGCGATAAATGCGATGCATTCGCGGCTTATCATGCGTGCGTGAATGTGAAGTTCAATTTTTATCGACGTAACATCCTGCGGCGTAAAAATACTTACATATTATGTCCACCCTGACATTCGGCGCGCGCGCACAATGAGCCGCATTCAGCTGATAAATGTGTTTTGTAATCATTTGTAATGGTTATTAATCAATTGCATTTTTTTCTTGAATTATTAAGTGTCTTAAATTTAAAATCTGTACGCAATGCGTAGTTGCAATAAATCATTTCTTTGTATTTTATTATAACCTTCGTTTTTTAGTAGAAAATTGATAAATTTTGAGGTTATATATTGAATAAATGTAAAAATTTTGATTTTTTGATTGTTTGTTAACAATTTATCACTTTGTGAAATAAAAATAACTTGATAATAATTTAAAATTTAATAATTACTCAGGAAATTACCGAAAAAAACCTAAAAATAGGGTTATTTTGTTCCTAAATGCTGCAAAAGAGGGCGCCACTTAAACGTTTCTTTAATTTTGTCAAAATTTGCAATTTTATGATACTTATTCATGTCTTTACTAATTTTTATGATGTTTTATTCAATAGATTTGCTTTTTTGCTTAAAATCACCCAAAAATTGCGTGAAAATCAAAGAAAAACTTAAAAAAATACGAAAAATTAATTTTGTTGAGGTTATGTTGCTTGACCGCTCCAATTTTTGATGGTACCGTAATTCTACCTCAAAATATTAATCCTGACAAGCAAAATATCCTTATTTTAACAATTTAAAAATTAATTTCTGTAAATTTAACACCATATTATCTCTATTAAATCAACACTGCGCTTGAAACGAAACCAAACAATGGTTATTTTTATCGCTCGCGTACAGATTACATATTTGCTGTAATTTTTATTCCATCCCGTTACCGGCTACGGCAATTTTGCAATTATTTGCACTCTCGCGCATTGTGTAATCACACATCAGCGCCAGCGCGCAAAAAGTAAAACATACACGCTCGCGGCCGATTGAAGGAAGTAAAATTAGGCGCCAGTCAATCACACACGTTCTAGAAATGCGCGATTTCTTCGAAATGACTTTCTAAACTTCTAGAGCCGCGATTGAGATGGACGCTCCGGGGGCGCTTCCTGTTTATTACCGCAGCCCGCTCGAGGGCGCAGAATTACACAACTCAACAACAACAAAAAATAAAATAAAACTCATATATCTGATCAAAATAAAAATCGGGTCTAATATTATAGTCGGAGTGCAATCGATCGTCATTGACAGATTAATTATATCGATGCGGTCCAATACTTTGACTTTCTGAAGACCTTAGCACAGATCTTGTGGTGTCTGTGGTCTCGCAATCCTTAGAAAATTTATTATTTACCGGAAAACCATTCGCATCATATCAAAATGATGAATTTTGTAAATTTTACCAGAAATAATTTATGTGTCATATAAATAACCGAAATCGCAAAGTTAAACGGCACATAATTGGCAGCATTTTTTGCATAAATGGCCAGCAGCTACATTTTGACCGGCAGAGGTTGCGAATTGCTTGAATTGCTAGAATCGCTAGAAGTTAATCTCTGCACGCGAAATGCACTACAACGAGTTTCTTTTCGTGTTGCTTCCTTTTGCATAACCTACTTTTTTCGCATTAATCATCGCCACGTGCGACCTGATCAACTCGCAAAAAACACAGGTTGAAACACATCAACGTAAATTTGTAGTGATGTGAATGTGTTTAATATTTGTAGTAAATTGATTTGATGGTGCAATTTACCTTCTTTTCATTAGGTGTTGTTGTAAAACCTAAAAAAACATTACAAAATTAATATTATTACAAGTAGATTGTATTCATTTATACTTTCTTTTGTTCTAGAAGATTTTCACGCAGCAGTTGAGCGGTTGAATGAGTTGCACTTTTTGAGGTTAGAAAGTGATGTTGAGCAAATTTTCAAGTTTTACGCATGAAAACAACTTGAAACTACTTGTATCATACCACGGGACATCCTCTGGATACTCACACACAACTCAATAACTTTTGTATAAACAATTAACGAGTTTATTGCAGTTAAATCAGCAAATTAAACCGGCAAACACCTTTCACACTCAACACACTTTTGACATGCTGAAACATGCGTTGCCAGCGCCCTCTCATTCAGTTGCTGAAAACTCACCGAAAGGAAAATTTGACAGAATAACTGTCTAGTCACGTCTGTACTTTACCAACTTATAATCTCTGTCAATATTTATACTTTGATTTCAAGTAATTAATAGATAACTAAACAAAGTACAAGTTGAAACAAACTCGATTGATTCTTTAAATATTTACAATAATAAAACGAATCATTTTTCGTGTTTTATCGCCCAAAAACCCTGTCTATATTAAAAATATCCATCTCATAGTAATCTTGCTCATCAATCTCTTCGTTTTGATGGTCATCTTGAAAAAAACCTCATCCAAACTGTTGCTAAGCCCAAACTAGTTTAGAGTTTCCATTAGACTCGGGTGATGCTGTACAGCATCTCGGTACACTCTTCAGCAGGCGGCTTCACACGACACTCAAAATTCAAATTGCGTGTGTGAGGAACCAGCCGGTCGGGCAGCAGGTGGTTTCGAAAAAAGCGAGCGCGTTTTTTTCATCTCTTCCTCGCCTGCCACGCCAGGGGGGAGTAAGACACACACATACACATACACATACTTAACGCGCATGCGATATTTACTTAAGTGTGTATATACATATATAGAGCATGAGATTAAACTGTGCGCACGCCGAAAAGTTGTTCGCTTCGGGGGTCAAGCGGGATTTGAATCGGCGGCGAGCGCGGATTTACATGCAAATGCAAACGCGCGCAAGTGGAATGTCTGCGCGCGTTTCAAGGGTGCAAGCGCTGACCTTGTACAATAAAATTTGTCGTCGCGCTTCGGCGGCGTCGTCCATCACATGTCAGATTATGTTATCGGAATATTAATGACAATTATTGCCTTTGCAACATTGTATTATAAACTCATCAGCTTATTCGATGTTTTACAGCGCCATCTGGGGCAAACTAAAATTAAATGTTACTTTATTCATGAATAACTTTTGTATTTTAAGAGATATTTTTATGATTCTTTCAACAATGGCTTTAAAATGTATTTTATTATGTGTAGTACGAGTTTATGTTATAAAAACCACACTCTAGGTTATGTTATTATTAAATTTTTAATAAAAACTGTCAAAAATGCATTTTTCAGGTTTTTCTTTGAGAATTTTTATGAATTTTTATAAATTTCATTAAAATCTCATCAAATATGTTGGTTTACACTAAGTTTTCCTTTAAAACTACTCAAAACACAATAATTACTAATTAAAAATGTTAATTAATGATTTCAACACCTGAAAAAATAATTAAAATTAGTTTTGTCAATAATAACCTTTAATAACAAGGCAATTATTAATTTATTCTTTATTTTTAATTAAATTTAAGCAAAAAACTAATATTTTAAGTCTAAAAACACATTTTCTAACCTTTAAACCCAAAATTCCTCATAACCTCCATTCATAACCTCAAATTTGCACTAGATTTGTCTCTTTAAAATTCCCTTCTCATTGCAACTATAATCAATATCCTCCGCCTTTGATATCCTGACTTATAATCCATTTTTCTTTTAAGTGCGAAAACTAGTACCATTTTCAAGATGATTTATCACTACCGCGGTGGCGTCAGCTGGAATAGTGTGGACAAAAGGACGTAAAAACATTAAGGACACCGCCGCCCGAGGCCCGACGGCAAGAAAGCGCGCCCGTCCTAGAAAATTAGAGCGACAAGAAGTGCGACTATCGGATGACCGACACAACCGCGGGCACAACTGTCGGTGGCGTGAACACAATCAGTGCACGATTGCAGGATCCACACAACTCACAGGACCAAAGCGGAGAGGCAGAGAATATGATCCTGTTTGTGTTTGAAAGAGGCTTTTGTCCTGAGAGGTTTTTTCTTGGGATTTTTTTATGGATACGGTGACATTATGACATTTTGACATTATGACAAGTGATAAAAACGTTTTAATTACAAAATTATTAATAAAATCTTTAATAAAAACGAAATTTGTGTTTTATGGTTGTGATTAATTAAGAAATAATATAAATTTTAAGAAATTACTTTTTGTTGTATGCAATTCATACTACCTATGATGTATAAAAAGTTGCCTATAGTCAAACATTAAAACTTTAAAAATTAAATGAAACTTTTAACTTTTACGCTTTATACTGAATGATTAATGTTTGTATCTTAGAAAAAACATTATATTAAGTCATTATTTATTCACCTACTCATAAATATTACAAAAAACATTCTGTAACACTTTGATTAATCGTTTATTTTTTATTTATTCCTTTCTATGTTAAGACATTTGAAATTTAAACTCGTAACTTGTAAATCAAATCAAGCAGAGTTACAACAGAGTTAAAAGGCATTTACACGCGCAAGTGCGCGTCCAAGTACATCCATAGTTCGGAATCTAAGTACGAGTATCTATACCATCTCAGCAATGTAAGATACGAGTATCTTAAGAGTAAGTGAACGTGTACGCGCGCTCCTGGCAATTACTTTCGATTCCCGCGTGTGTTATCTTGCTATTTGCTACATTGCATCATAGCGAATGCTCAGACATTCTCCTATAATTTTATTAAACAATAAACATTGCGTTTTTCATTTTGTTAAATTGGTGGTTTCATGTATCATGATGTTTGGGTTGATCAAGGTTAAAAAATGTAATAATAACAAAGTAGAAGAGTAAATTTTGATGATTTTGTTAGAAATAAAGGTTAATATAATATTTTAACTAATAAAATAGTAAAAAATGTATGAAATGTTTGTTTTTTAATACTTTTAAGGTGATTTTGTCTTTAAAAATTATTATTTAATAGTTTTAGCCATAAAATACTTTAGAAAATTGTTAATTTTAATGATAATTATCGTAATAAACAATATTTTAATTTTTAGCTGGTATTTATGCCCTTTAGCGCCATCTGGGTGTGAATTATATAACTAAATCTATGATTAAAACTCCATATCAACTTTCATCCCTAATTTTACACATTTTTAATTAAATTTTGGCAACAAAAAGTACCCTAAATTATTCTCCATAGTCTAAAATATCTCTATACTAAAATTTATCAAAATTGGTTAATTGGTTAATGCTTGAAAGCGAAACAAACAAACGTACATTCCTATTTATAAAGTACTAGCTTTAACCCGCCGCTTCGCTCGCGAATATCTAAAATAATGAAGTTGCTTCCGTACGCGTCTGTTAGTCACAGAAGAAGTAACAATGAAGTAGAATGGCGGGAAGTTTAAAATGGCTGAAAGTATAGTCTATGGAAGTATAGTGTACAGTCTCCATAGTGTAGTCAATTGGATTTGATGTTGACGTAGCTGTCGGTAATACAGTGTGATAATACAGTGTGATGGTACTATAGTACTTAGGTTTGAGCTTCATTGCTGGAATGCTAGATGGCGTTAAAGTGGTCAAATAGCCAAATGCAGAGGTATTATTGGCTAAACAATTTCTTTATTTTATTTAAAAAATAATTTTTTTATTAAATAAAAAGTAGCCTATAACCATTCGGGGACCACTAAAAATATGTGTACAAATTTTCATGCTGATCGGTTAAGTAGTTTTTGCGTGAAAGTGTAACAAACATCAGGACTTTCGCATTTATAATATTAGTAGGGATATAACCACAAATACATAATTTTACATAAAAATTTGTTCAAATCTCTTCAGTTTTTATTTATTCTGACATAAAACTTAACATTCTAATAGAATACAATTTATACACGTTATTATTCAAACAAAAAGAAATAAAAAGCAACAAAGAAACCTATTACTAACATCATAATATTAGCAGTAATTTAATATACATAATTTATTTCATGCATTGTGCATTCATTCACAATTCATTCAATTCATAAAATATATAAACACACAAAATACAAAATACAAAATACAAAATATTCATATTATACAACCAACATGTCACCTTTTACAATAACCTCAAAACTAGCGTTGATAATGAATTAATTCAACATTCAACATAAATAAAATAAATGTTATAAATTCCTGCACGACGTAACATCCACGCCTCGAGGCCATTAACTCCAAACAAGTTAATAACAATAACATTAACCATCAACCATCAACTATTAACCACAACTACACTCAAACCTCACAGCTAAAGCTGTAGATGTGAGTTGTTATTTCGCAATAAATGAGGACTGCGAGTGAGAACGTTTTGAGCGCAATTGTTCAATGCATGTAAGCACTTAGTTGCAGGTACTGTAAGAATAAGAAAACGAAAAAGAAAAAGGAGAGAAGATTATGTTTAACGTAGACATCGCGGTGCAAAATCGTGATAGACCATGGAGGTGGCGCAGAGGTAGACATCTTTTATTTTGCGTTTGGCACGTTTCCTTTTCAATCTTGCATCTTCAATCTTACAGTCATCATCATCATCATCATCATCATAGGCGCTTGTGATTAGTACTCAGTGAAAACACCGTTTTATTAGTTCATGTTTTAGTTTAATTAAATAATGTGGCGAGTAAAAATATTTATTTTGGTGATGTGTGTTTCAGTTTTTGGAAAATCAATAAAAGTAAGTTTTGAAAATTTGTTAAATAATAAAGAATTATTAATAATTTTGTCAGGAGGAATAAATATTTTAAGTTAAAGTTCAAAATTTTTGATTATTTTTGATTTTTTACCCAATATTTTTGAATTTTAATGTTTTGTTAGTTACAACACTTATAACTCAAGAACGGTTGGACAGATTTTGATTATCAATGATTTGTTGGATTTGTCTTTGACCCGAAAGGGATAATAACTATTAAAATATTTAAAATTATGCCTTAAAGGGTGTTAAATAAGGGATGAAAGTTTATATAGTGATTCAATCATAGTTATAGTTACATAATTTGAATTCAGATGGCGTTAAAAACATTATTAACATTTCCCATCATTATTAAATAAAATTGCTAATATTATTGATGAAATAAACACAAAATAAACAAAATATCAATAATTATTATTTTTTACACCGCAAATTAGGAAATTATCCATTAAATTGACATTAAATTATTACCTCTAAACTACAATCCAACATAACCACACTTCAACGACCTTTAAATATATTTTTTACAATTGTGTGATTTATGAATTTATGAATAAGGAAATACATAAGAATAAAAACTAAAATATAAGTAGAATAACAAAAGAGCACTTTCATTCGTGCGTTTTACTGCCTACCGCATACTTTTGCCATCATTCTGCTCAACTTAAATTGACTCCGGTCATGCCGCGAATATTGTGTTAGGCTGGAATATTGGAAATGATCGAATCGGTCGGAAAGTGTGCGGCCGGTGTTTGCTGAGGACGTAACCGCCTCGTTTCGTTTCGCCATGGCTCATGTCTCACGCCTCGTCTGTCGGATGCACATTCTCTTTATTCTCTTTCTTCGCGCTGCTTGCTGTAATCGCAGTAATGAACTAGGAAATGACCGACCGCGTGCGCAATACAATGCAGTACAATTTTCACCGTCTTGCACAACTTATGTTTAACTAATAACATAAAAAATGATAAAAATACATTTTTTAGTTTAAAATTTTATTTTTTATTTTATTTTAGAAAAGACAATTATTCAGAGAGCAGTTATCACCACACATGGGTGGAAAGGTACCGGAAGCAGCCTTTCAACGGGATCGTTTAGCACTTAATCAGTTGAATGCTCGTGGGATTTACAGCACTTCCGGAATTTACCTGGAACATCACTCGGATAAATCACCAAAGAGTCATCAACATATTAAAACAATGCAGGTAAAAAAATAGACTTAAATGTTAATTTAAGTAAATTGTAACCAATAATCCCTACTAATATTATAAATGCGAAAGTCCTGATGTTTGTTACACTTTCACGCAAAAACTACTTAACCGATCATCATGAAAATTTGTACACATATTCTTAGTGGTCCCCGAATGGTTATAGGCTACTGTTTATTTAATAAAAAAATTATTTTTTAAATAAAATAAAGAAATAGTTTAGCCAATAATACCTCTGCATCTGGCTATTTGACTACTTTAACGCCATCTAGCATTCCAGCAATGAAGCTCAAACCTAAGTACTATAGTACCATCACACTGTATTATCACACTGTATTACCGACAGCTACGTCAACATCAAATCCAATTGACTACACTATGGAGACTGTACACTATACTTCCATAGACTATACTTTCAGCCATTTTAAACTTCCCGCCATTCTACTTCATTGTTACTTCTTCTGTGACTACAGACGCGTACGGAAGCAACTTCATTATTTTAGATATTCGCGAGCGAAGCCGCGGGTTAAAGCTAGTATGAATATAAGTGTGTTTGTTTCGCTTTCACGTCAAAACCATTTAACCAATTTTGATCAATTTTGGTATAGAGATAGTTTTGACCTTGGAAAAGATAATAGAATACTTTTTGTTGTATAAAAATATCAAAAAGGGTGTAAAATAAGGGTTGAAAGTTAAAATATTGATTTAATCATAATTATAATTATATAATACATATATAGATGGCGTTAATGTGCAGTATTAACTATTTTCATTAAAATTATAAGATTTATTGAAGAATTTGCCAAATAAAAACCCGAAAATATTTTTTTAATGAAAATAGATGGCACCACTAACCTCCTCCTAATTACATTTTTAAACATTAAAAAAATAAAATAACGACTTCGCTTACCAAGCAATATAATGATTATTTCAAGGTACCTGCACCTGAAGAAGATCGTTACGTAGCACCGGAGGGAAGATATCATTATCACACGCCCCCCACGTTGGACACGACGTACGTGATTAGAGAACCAGTGCAGGTGCCAATTACGCCCAACCTCCGTTATCACCCCCAGCCGCATCCACCCTACGATTCACTAAAACTAGCTGGGTACTACCGTGGTATGCGAAGTCAAACTGCCCATACAGGTGGCGCCACTGCGCTGCTAGGTTATAACCAGTGGACGTATGCAAATGGCAATGGTAATGTGTACGGTGGGCAGCGTAACGACATCGACGACGATTTTGAAGTACAAGTAAGCGCTGGAATATTTCACTCCAAAGGGTTAATTTAGGGGTTGAAAGGGGCATAATTAACGCCGACCGTCATTGCTATAATTGCACGTCCCATTAGTTGCTAAATATAGGCGCTAAATTATATAAGTAATAATAAGGGTTGAGAAGGGTCGTGGAGATGAAATAAATTGAGATGTTTTTGATAGTTTTTTAATTAATGTTGATAATTATTATTCTAGGCGAAAAAAGAGTACGAGCCGTACTTGAAAAAACTTCACGAGGTTGATAAATAACACTGCTGACTCAACAAGGGATGGACATTGGACAGCGGCGGAAAAACAAAAAAGTGGAAAAGCGGAAAACCGGAAAAAAGAACATTGACGTTTAATAAGTGACGGTGCTTGGTCGGGTTTGGAGCGAACGAATTGACTTAATTTTAGTTTTGAGTATGCTATCTATTTACTTTTACAGGATCAACATAATATACAGGATGTTAAGAGAATATTAAGAGGTTAAAAGTATTTTTTTTGTTTTGTGTTTTTCATGCACAAATTTTTAATTTTTTGATAATATTTATATATCAGTGGATAATGTTTTTAATCTAGTTTTAAATAAAATTAGAATTTTTGTTTTATCTTGAATCATTAAAAAAATATTAAAATTTTGGTAAAAAGAATATTTTAATTTTTTAAATTTTTTTAAGTTTTTAATTTTAAGCAATATGTCTTTTAATTTTTAAATAGCTTAAATTTTATTTAATTATTTTATTGTTTTTAGATTTATTTATGATGTTTATGTATATTAAATTTATTTGTTTTTTATTTTAATATTTTGAACACTTTGTATATATTTTATTATATTCTTGTATTAAACTTTTTGTGAACGTTTATGGTAGTTAATTTATTTTCTACTTTCAGTTGGTAATTCTGCGACTTGCGAAAATGAAACATCTTAACCTCTGGATTATATAACTTTACGACGCCATCTAGCCATGTGCGTTACCCTATTAAAGGAGAGTGTATTAAGTGTAAATTATCTGTCTTACATGGAATGCAGTTACTAACATTTGTTATTAGTTGAGAAAATAAAAATGTAGAAGTAGATAGATAGATATATAGATATTGTTTTTTTAGGTTAATTATGTAAGGTAATTAAAAGATCAATAAATTAAATTTAAGTCTGGTAATAGATTTAAATATTTACTTACACTATGCGTTCTTAACAACAAATAATTTCAATGTTTTATTAGTATAAGTTATTGCTCAATACCGCACTTTAAATCTTACCGCAACTGTTTATTATACCTACTGAGTAGTATGAGTACGCATTAGTGCGCATGCGCGGTTTACTCAGCCATACTAGGCGGAGCAGGAAACCACTTTAACCTATGATTCCTAACCTTTTTAACGTTATTATTATTTATACTAACATAGTGTGAGAATAACTGCCATAATTTTACTATAATATAAATTTTCACTTTTACTCTATTGATACTAAAAAACATAACCACAAATTGACCAGAAAACATCTCCAAAATTTGAGTTCCACTCGGCGTACCATTGCAGGTTTGTGTAAATCTGTAAATCGAAGCGAACACAACTTTCCCTCACACGGAAAGCAACGGCCATTCCAGGCAATTCACGGTGCCTAATGTACCGCCGGAAATAAATCGCTTCGGGTGACACTTTTAGTAAATGCGTCGTAAATTATTTCTCGATGTTACTGACTACATTCCTACAAATTCACCGCTTTGTTAATATTTTCTTTTATCAGCTAATCTACGATACTCACAAACCCAACAAAAACAAAAAAAAACAAAAAAAACACAAAATTTTCATTCAATATTTAAATGATTATTATACATTATTTTTAATTTATAATTTGACAATTTAAACTTATTTGTATAGCACTCACTGAATTTTGATGACGACCCTTGTCTCGGCGTTTATTTAACAAGACCGCGCCGCAAATTAAAAAATGAAACAAACAGAGCGAAAACGAGGAGCTCGATTCGTGTTTGCGGGTTGATGTTTGCCCACTGTGCGCCCGAAAACTGTAGCCGCCATTTACAACCGGCGAGTGGTTATTTGACTTCTCGCAGCAATAATTAATCGTGTTTGTTTTGTTTGCAAATTAGTTTCGAATGTGTACAAATGCCCATGAACACAATAAGTGCTTACAAATTGCATTTCCCAGCAAAAAAATCAAATATTTTCAAATTTTTTTCAAATAAGCTCCGCCTATTTCCTGTCACTCTATTGGTTGCCCCTGCGCATGCGTATTAAATCAACGAATCAAAATGTATTAAATAGGCGGAGCAATATTTATCATTTCCGTTGTTATTGTACTCGTAAGCCTGCGTAGAGTATTTCAAAATGTGTGTGCGGCTTGGCGTCGCGACGCCACCAACGCCTCAGTTACTCGACGACGCGCACCGTGACCACTCGACTCGCTCCTGAATTTCCACCGCGCTGACGATGTAAACAAACGCCTGCATCTTCTGACATTCCATGCATCATGGGTAAGTCAAATATTTACACATTTTTTATTTCAACATCACATCACATCCATCATAATCAATTCAATTTTTTATTTATTTTCAATCAAAAAAGTAATCACACCGCAATCGATTTTTAATTTTTTTTCAATAGCAATCTATATAGTGATAACGTCGAGTCCCTATTCCCCTTCGCGATGGTTATCAGCCGATGGCCGCTTGAATAATTAAAGAAGACGTGGCGAGCGAGCAATTGCAGCGCTCTGATTAAACTCCAACGAACCGCGAACGATCGAAACCAAAAATTAAATTTAATTGCTTTCCACGGGCACGCAGGCTGTAATTCGTTTCGTGTTTAATAGGGGATGGATTAATCTAGTGGATAAATAAATATTTATAGGTTTTATTGCGCATGCGCATCAAGGAGAACAATTTTTTTATTTTTTTGTTTTAAAATTGAGTAAATTATTGATAACAAAACAACCTGTAGCAATCGTGGCCTAAATATTAATACGTAAATACATGCTTTTGTCTTTTTGTCAGGCACACACGCTTTGTATTGTTTTTTTTTGTATTCGCGTCGCGTGTCGTAATTTACATCCGAGTCAATTGTCTTTCGACGCTGCGCGACAGCCCGCCCCAATTTATCCAAGGGTGAACGAGCGTGATCGTAAATTTTACGTTTACAAACCGGCCCTTTTCTTGTACACCTTCCCGGGACATGGACATGGATGATTTCTAATTGAATAGAATTTAAAATGCGAGAAACAAAATAAATTTTGATGAAAAAAGAAGAATTTTTTTTATTTGATGTCTAAGTGAAATTTACGTAGTGTGTGACATGTTTTTATCGATTAGTAATTATTTGCGTCGGTCAGGAAGCATTAGAATTGAGGTAAAAATAGGAAAGTCGTTTTTTTATTCCCGGTGGTAATACGAGTACTTGTAGATCTATTTGATGCGTGTTGTAGCACTTAAATATTAATATCGTAATCATCGATTTCGGAAGTAGCATAATGATCGAAACAAACATTAGTAACCTCAGAGGAAATTCGTAGTAATAGTAAAAAGAAGAAATTATTGATTTATGCAGTGTTAAGTGTATTTATGCTCCGCCTACTGATGATACTCACTGATTGGTTGGACATTCAGTGCATGTACGTCACGTTTAATGTGTATGCAACCAAATAAACACCAAAATAAAATTTTAATTCATTTAAAATTAATGGAAACACTCAGTATATAAATATTTATTTTTATTAAATTATATTTAATTTTTCTTAATTTTTTAAATTTTTTTTTTATTTTAATAATTTTTTAATTTTTTGAAAATTTTACATAAAATTTTCTCTTACGTGAATTTTCTACAGGCGTAAATTGAAATGTGTACTAGCGGTTGCTTCCAAAGCTTACAAAGCTTCTGAATGTAAACATTTTAGACAAAAGTAAACACACAAACACTAATACGCAGTTACATAGCAGAATAACCGAACAGCGAGGCATTCAATGCCAGTAAATTCACCGCGAGAGAATAAACAATTTTACTAATAGACTCATACAACACATCATGCATATTAATATCTAGCAATATTTTTCATAAAAATTGAAAATTAAAAACTAAAAAAACATGTTTTTAGATGATGACAGCGACCTCTTTAATTTCCCGATACGATACCGGCCTGAAAAACTGCAGAATTTGTGTTCCAAAACTAAATTTACGCGGAAAGAGATTCAGTTGATGTACAGAGGGTTTAAACAAGTAAGAATAATAAAAAATATTATAATATTTAATGTAATTTTAATAAATTTGAATAATTTTAGGAATGTCCTAGTGGAACTGTTGATGAAGAAGCTTTCAAACATATTTTCGCACAATTTTTTCCGCAAGGAGGTAAAAATATTAAAAAAAGTATTTTAAGCATCAAGTGGCTAAAAGGGAGTTTTTGTCCCCAGAATGATTAAAAACGAGTGTAGCAAACGTTTAATTAATCGTGTGTTTAATCACGTTTAGCCACATGATGCTTACATTATTTTTTCTACTTCCACTCTATTACACTACTAGTAAATGTAAGGTTATAAGGATATAAAGTACTTTAGTCACGGCCATGGCCATCCGTGTTTCAATATCTGGTATTTACTGTCGGAAAACACTTATTTTTTGGTCTTTTACACTGAAAATTAAAAAAAAATAAGAAAAACTATTTTTTTCAATGAAAAATCAAGTAAAATGCGTTTCGTGGCTAAAGTCTGTGACTAAAGTACTTTAGTCACGGCTTTGACCATCCGTGTATAAAGTACCACTTTTTGTGTCTAAAATCCGTGTGAAAACTTTCAATTTAAAGATGGAAGTAGAAAAACATATTTTTTTAAAAAATAAATTTTATAAAATGTATTTTAGATGCTACAAATTATGCCCATTACGTTTTCAACACGATGAAACAGAAAAACACGGAAAAAATCAATTTCGAGGTGCATAAATTTCAATATCTTTTAATAAATCGCATATTTATGCAGCGTTCCGTAGAATTTTTTAGACATCTTATCAAAAGTATCCAGAGGCAGCGTACAGGAAAAACTCCAGTGGGTGTTTGGCCTCTACGACTTGGACGGTGACGGATTAATCTCAAAAAACGAAATGGTCGACGTCGTCTCCAGCATTTACGAGATGATGGGAAGATCTACGCAACCCTCTGTAGAGAATGGCAGTGCTAAAGAACATGTCGATAAAATATTCCACGTAAACACTTTCTTCTAATAAAAATCAAATATTTTATTCTACAAAATGTTTGTTTCAGTTGATTGATTCGAATAAAGATGGCGTTGTGACGATAGAAGAATTAGTGCAGTGGTGCACACGAGATGAAAGCTTCTTGAATTCCTTGAATACTCTTGATACTGTGTTGTGATATTGATAAACAAATTAAAAGAAAGAAAAGAAAGCAATTTATGATTAAAAATCTTCAAAATAGATTGCAACTAAACTCTTCAGTATTATTCTGTATGTTAAATATCAAAATATTTAATTTAGGTTATGTTAGGTTAGAATAAATGAAATACGGATTAAAACTGGCAATAATTTATTATTTATTATGTCTCATCAGCATTCTGGCTATTGCTCAACGCGCCGTTGCAAAACTATTTGCTATTTCTATGTACATGTCAGTCTTGGCAACAACGCGTGGCGCTACTCGTACATTGAGGTTACGTTAAGTAACGTCAGTTAGTATCCATCCACTCACATCGGTGTACCACTTTGAAATCAAGTGTTAAAGTGGTTATTGTCAGCATTCTGGAACTTTGAGTTTTTATCCTTTTTTTATTTAAATTCCTCACCGATGTATATTTTGTTTTCTGCCTGTATTTTCTTTATGTTGGTGATATTCAACATCGTGTATACATGCGGTGTTTATTGGGTTGCCTACGCATGATGTCATTTTGTTGAAAATGGGAAGTGGTTTACCATTTATAATCACCTCAGCAATTTCACCTGGAAATTTAGGTTTTTGTGAACTGAATTTTGTTATTTTGGGTTGATATTTACCTTTAAACCCTTTGTATATACCAGCTAAGGGATGTACCTCTCTCCAGGACCTTAAATTTATAAATTTAATATTTCTATAATTTAATTAAAAATTCTTACTTCATTGATCCGATATAAAGAGGCATCCCCAGATTAAGTTCCAAAAGTGGTGATCCTGATCTTCCTTTAACCATATCCTGATTGTCATCAAGTTGGAGGGTACCATCTCTTCCTTCTCTTGTAATCCGTACCTGATGCCATTTGTTTAAACCAATTTCTTTCTGGGAACTAGAAATTATCAAATTAACAAACTCCAATTAACAAAAAATCTTATTTTGACTTACGTCAAATTGGCTATACCACTACCCAAATTAAACCTGAACTGCACCCGACCCTTAATCAAAGCCAAAGATAAAAAGTCTCCTTTACCAGTTGCCAGCTGTCCAATATACAAAATAAGACCTTCTTGATGATGACTTTTGAAGGTAACCTCAATGGTAAACCTCCTTCCAAGATTTGATGGTGTAGGTAAACGTATGAAACTCCCACCATGGAACACACCAATTGTTCTGGTTATACCTAAACTTCCAGATGTTTCTAAGGGTTCAGTTTGTTTTTGTATTTGTTTTGGTGGTATTCCACACTCTTGTATTCCATTAACCTTAACCACTTCTTCATCACCTTCAGTTAAACCCACATCTTTCCTTCCTAGACGTAACCTTCGTATACATCCATGTAACCCATGAGCTACTCCAATGTTTTTGTATACTCTGGAGTGATTACTTGGTACAAACCCTATGAAGGTATCTTCTGTAAGATCCAACGCACGAAGTTTACCAGCTGATTGCCCCGCGACATTTTCCCCATCATCAAGTTGTAGCATACCATCTCTATGGTACCTCTTAGCTACAACCCTGTGGAATTCCCCAGGGATTACCTTCTCTAAAGAGGTGATTGTAACAGAACCATCTCCCAGGTTATATCGGAATTCAACAAAACCATCTTTGATTGCCAAGGAAACAAAATCCCCTTTTCCATCAGAATTTTGTTGAGCGTATAACAGAATACCATCTGAAGAATACGTCCGGAATTCCATCTCTATACTCAATTTATGATAAGCATTCAAAGGTTTAAGTCTTATGTAAGATTCTCCATTGAAACCAGCTATGGTATTACCATTCAGAGTACTGGTACCATCAGTGGTATCTTCAATACATTCTTGTCTATCTGGTGATTCAAGGTACCCTTCTTTACAAACACAAGCACTGTGTTTACAATGACTCTGACTTATAGGACAATCCTCTTGAAACGAACAAATATCTCCTAATAGAGCTGTAATCATTTTGACTGTAGCAGATGTAGGTTTTACTATTCCTGTAGAATTACCAGAATCTGTAGCTGCGTTGATGGTGTAACTCTTCTGGGGAGTGAAATTATGGCCTGTTTTACGTTCGTAGTACCACCTTGGATCGGGTACCATCAAATGTCTTGTTGATTTTGATAATGGGGAGTTGGCATCATCAGACTGAGTAAACTCCAATGGGGTGTACCTTCTTAAAGGCCATTCTGTTCCAGTAATCTGATCTGGTGGTACGCATCCGTTGGGACCTAGGACTTTATCATGGGAGGTGCAGACTGTGCATTTTTGTCCTTGGATACCTGGTTTACAGACACATCGACCTGTCATTTGTTCACAGTCTTCACGGACTGATCCAATAGGTGAACAACCACATGCTATAAAAGAATTAAATTAGGGTTTTAAAATTATCATTATTTTTGACTTACGTATACACCCTTGATGACCAGAAGATATTTTAGGTAAACCCCAGTAACCAGGTTCACACCTATCGCATTTTTCTCCTCCCACACCAGGTCTACAACTGCAGGTCATGGTGGTAGCATCACATGATTCTGAGTAAGCTCCCAATTTGTTACATCCACAGAAAATGGGACACCCTGTATGATTGGCTCCCTGGGAAGGTGTTTTACCATCAGGGCAACAACCATACCAGGTGTCTTCACAGTTACTTGTAGTATGACTTTGATCTGCAACAAATTTACCAGTTTTATTCAGGGATAAACAGGGATTTCACGTTGGTACCTTTTTTACAACACCTTGCAAATCTGACTGTTTGATGACAGTAAGTCCCTGAAGGGCAATCTTGTCTTAGAGGACCATTACCACAATCCAATTCTAATCTGGTTGAAGGGTCAATGATGGGTTTATCACCATTGCAAGGTTTTACCTCCATACCTAAAGACAAAAATTTATAGTTTTACAATTTTTACTTAAATTTTTTTTATAATTTAATAAAATTAATAAAAATTAGTAATGTTATTATGACCTTGACAAAGATCCAAAGGTCTCAGTCTCAACTCCTGTTGTTTTTCACATGCGGCCATTCTCATATCACAAGCCGAAGCATATATTCTCAAATCAGAAGCACACACAGGTCCACCACCGCCATCTACATCCATTTCAGTAGAACAATTAAACCGACAAGCGCAACGTGGAAAATTATCAGCTCCTAGCTCACAGGTGGCGTCATGATCGCATCTGATATCCCGACAAACTTCAACACTATCCGGCAGAGTATTGCCTAAATCAAATATACTAGATGATGTGTACACAGATGGCGCTTGTGTTGCTATAAAATTAGTAATGGTTAATAATTAGTAATATTAAGGGTGGTAATCTAATGGTGATGAAATGTATTTTACCTGCAACAGAAAATCTTTCTCCACAATCACCATAAAATACTACTTCGAGTTGTTGGGAAGTTTGACAAGCAGCACGTTGAAGTTCACATTCATTGTTGTAAGTAACGCCATCTGTTGCACAGACGGGTTCAGCACCATCGAAACTACAATCTTTTGTTGTTGAACATAAATCTATAAGTTTTGAGTGTGTTAATAGTTTTATATTTGATTGTTTTATTAAATTTACCGCAATCTCCTTTGTATGCTATCAAAACGTATTGTTTGGCTTCACATGCGGCAACCCGTAGTGCACACTCACTGGAATAAGTAACACCATCTGTCCCACAAACAGTTCCGTTATATCCATCACAGTTTTCTACTTTTGGGCATATACAACGTGCGTTCTTCTCTACTTCAGCACAAATTGCATAGAAATCACATTGTTTATTCTCACATCCATCTAAAAACCCATCAAAATTATTTATTTAAATTTTTAATAAACTAATTTAACAAACCACAAGGTCCATGATACAAAACAGCTATATCTTTCTGTTTTAAACATCCTTCTCTCCTCAGTCGACACTCATTACCATATGAAGCACCATCCGTACCACAAACAGGATCAAACGCAGCGGGGCATAATGGCGGACATACACATTGCGCCCTACCATCATCTTCTATTTGACAGCTTGCACCATATCTACATTGGTGTTGAGCACATGGTGAAGAAGTCCCACACACTCCTGAATGTACAATGGCCATACCATTAGAAATGGTACTATGGGCCAAACAAGCTGCACGTTTTGCTTCACATTCGGAAGCGTGTGTTCGGCCATCTTCTGCGCATACAGGGCGAACCACAGGTTCACATCGTGGTGGGCATTCACAGACTGCAATGCCGAATTTGTTAATGGCGCATTCTTCAAGGGATGAACAATTTACACTTGCGCATGGATTTACTCCTAAAAATTGTTTTTTTTTTTAGGTAAATTTGGTAAAAATGGTAAAAATTAATAAAAACCTGAACTACACTTTCCCCTGTATATAATATTAAGGGTTTTCCTTGCTCTGCAGCCTTCTTGTTTGAGAATACATTCGTTTGAATATGTTTTACCATCAGAAGCACACACAGGATCAAATTCCAATGGGCATGTCTCCCCACATCGACAAACAGGGTTTCTATGGTCATCCAATTGGCAAATTTCAGGTTCTGAGCAGACTATACCTAAACAAGGATCTAAAACCACAAATTAAAAAAAATTCCTTTGAATAAAACATTTTTCATACCGCATTTTCCTTGATATCTAACAACGACATCATGTTTCGTCCTGCATGCAGAAACCTGTAATTCACACTCATTCAAGTAGTCTACTCCATCGCTACCACACACAGGAGCTGCAGTCTCTAGACATTTCTCTATACACCGACAGGTGGCGTTACGACCATCAGGAGACGCAACGCAATGTGCTCCGACTTCACACTGACGTTCCTTACAAGGATCACGCACTTCTAACGCAAAATTTGTTTGTTTAAGTTTGATTCAACAACCCTCAAAGTTTTAAACTTACCACATTTACCAACGTAACTTATTTTTGTGTTAATCCTGGCGCGGCAGGACGCAACGCGCAGCTGGCAGTGATTGTCGTAGGTTTGCCCGTCGCTGCCGCACACCGGCTCCACGTGGGGGCGGCAATGCGTCGGACACTGGCAGTGTGCTCGGCCGTCCGGCCCAGTCACGCACTGCGCACCCCAAGCGCAGAATGTCTTCTCGCATGGTTCTACAACACAACAAACAAGAAAAGTTTTATTTCACAAACTCCACTAAGGGTTGCTACTTTAGAAGTGACAAGTAATTGTAAACTGTAAATCTGTTCTTGCAAAATAAACTTAACCTATAAATCTTAAACAATGGTTTGATATAACAAAGATAATTTAATTTTAATAATTTTTTCCTTTCTGAAACACTCTGTATATTTATGAAAATGCATAGTTTCAAACAAAACGAGTAGAAACACTCGGGGGTGGTCCCAGCGGAAGGTAATCATTGTAATTAAGGCATTGATTAACTATTCACCGTCGAGCCGGTGCTGGGGGCGGCTGAAGTAAAGCGGCGCCCGCCATCTAGAACACTCCAGCTTACTCTCGAGTAGACGCTGCCGCTCGTAAAACTATCGCGTAATATTCCCGCACACCTCGTTAGGCAGAGAACCAGCCGCCTCTTACGCGCCGCCACCACCACCACCAAAACGCCCACCCCCATCGGTCTCGATTCACGAGCGAACTTTCGCACCGCAGTCGTTCGGTTCTCACATCCTGCTAATTGGAAACTTTATAATTGATTTTATAGAGTCGAGCGCAGCAGGAATATTACGCTCGTAATAAATTTAATAGAGACCACCCCCAACATAGTCCGGGTGCAAATATAATTCATGCATTTAAACTCGTAAAAAGTTTTGCGAACAGTTTAAAACTGTGTTTTAATTTTTTTTGTGATTTTTCCCATTTAAATAACATTGGTTTCCGGTCGCCATTGATTCTAACCTCAAAAACAGGTTTTTTATTCAATACGAATTGCCTATTAATTATTTCGAAAGCTCTGAATGCCATCACCGCCCCCGCAATCAAATTGACTTCGATTCAATTAAATCATTACACAATCAAACCCTTTAAACCGAAATGCGAACAATAGAAGGTCAACCGCCCCCTTCAACTCTGACCCAGCCGCCCCCAATCACCCCGTCACACTTTATGTCACCGCATAACTACGAATCGAACGCTGAATCGTCGATCCGACGATTGTAAACTGTAATACGAGTATGCAACCCAAAATACTCCAACCACCATTTTGTAATTTACGTCCATTGTCCATTGTGAATGTGTCGCCAGCGCGGATCTGGTAATTAACACGCTAAGCAATGGCAGATTATTTAATACAATGCGAGCGGAATTACTTCTACTCATATATACAGTGTGTCTTTGTGTCTACTCGTGAAATTAACGACGATCATAGATCTTGCGTTGCGCATCTGGGAATGTTTTCGAGTGCGAGCTTAATAAACAACTTAATGAACGCGCAGAGTGCTGAAACAGACCTGTCACAAGATGCGGGGGTGGAAATTTGCTAGTGTAATTTATGCGCTCGGGGGTTGCGCCGATAATTTCGCTACTTTACGCGTAGGAAAATGTTTCCCCGAGCGCAAAACTATGCCTAATGTCACAAAGTCGCAGGCTGCGTTTGACGTTTGAAGCCGGGAGGCGGCTGGAGGCGGCGGAAAGTGTCGGTTGCGCGCGCGGGTGATGTATTGATACGTTTCGCGCGTTTCGTTGCGAAAGTTTTCAAACGTGTTTCGACCTGTTTTGCGCGGCGGCCATTAATCATGCAGGCGGGCGGAAATTGGTGTGTGATGTTCAACTATGGCGGCTGAGGGATGGTAACCAACATGTGCTGCCATCTACTAACACATACCAACAATATTATAGTTAAACACTAGTTAAACACTCAAAAAAACAATTTTTATCAAAATTTAATTTTTTCCCATAAGAATAGCATTGATTTCCGGTCGCCATCTTTAAAATAAAAAAAATGGTTGTTTGTAAAGTTGGTTTACGATCGAGATGTTTACGTGATAACGTCTTATTGGTGATATAAGTTTTGTTTGTTGCAATTGTTGTAAAACTTCACTTGCACTTCACATTTTGTTTTACTGTTAGGCTCCCCGCACACTACAAACTTTATATCGGCCGATAAAACATTCAACGAAAACTTAACCGCACGAGAAAATCTCCATTCGTTTGTATGTCGCTAGAGTGAGAGAGACGGAAGATCGGTCAACTCACTCGAACGCTATGACTGGCACGGAATGACTGGCAGCGCTCGAGATGAGACGGGAGATCGGTCCGTCTCTCTCTCGTTATAACGAGAGGGGGGTATACCTGCGATCGACCTCGCTCGTGACACAGTTTCTGAACAGTAACCCAATAAAACGATTTTAAAGACGTTATCACGTCAATAAATTTGAAGTTTTTGAGGTTAAAAATGAATATTTTTTAAATGTTTCAACGCAAATTTTAAAATAATATCACATTCTACTAATGTATTGGTTGTAAAGAAGAAATTTTGTATTTTTAATGCCGCCCCCAAAGGATAATCGTAATCGTATTCAAATAGGAGCGATTTGGATGCGCACCCCGGTTTGAACCTTTCGTCTTGCCAAAGGATATCGGGTCGTTTTCGTTTTTGTTTCTCGCCCCCTCAAAACGTACACAAATCCGCCGAAGATCGGCGTTTGCAAACCGCCCCCACCCCTTGGGTAATCGACAGCAGCTGCCGCTAATTGTATCATTCAACTCCGGGTTGGTCAGACGCGTTAAAATTAACTTTCCTAAATAAATTTCATTATACAGGGTGTTTCTTCATAAAAATACAATTATTTAATAGTACTTTCTGTGACACTCTGTATATAAGCAATAAAAAGAATAAAAGAATAAGTAAACGGCACTTGGAAACCAAATGTGTGCAATTTTTCTTTCGCAGAATTCGCGGGACCTTTTGTCCTTTACGAGGAAAGCTCGGGAAAGCTTTTTAGAAAATGAAAGAAATGATGAAATAAGCCAATCGAACGGTACGAGTGGAATGATGAGAGTCGAGAAGACAATTACGTCTAAAAGGCGGATCGGAAAAGCTCCACGAAGCAATCGATCGGAAAAATCCGCCTAATTTCCATGCGATGCAGCTACGACCGAACGGAAATAAAAGAATAAAAGAAGTTACATTAATCCCGGATTCAAATCGCATCGCGCCGAACTTCGACTTTTACTACGGACCGTAACACAACTAACACGAGTCAGGCAGGGGCACGTGGCGCGCGAGGAAATTAAGTTGCCTGTTGCGGAAAATCACGGCCCGGCAAGTTTTTCCGCCTTCGACGCGCGCGATATTGAACAAAGTTCCGGATTTGTTGCAAAACTTTCCAGCTCGGATGCATATTTTACTGCGTTACGGCTGGCAACTGTTACCTGACTAAGTGTTTTCCGACTTTTTTTACGTCGAGCTTTTTGAGCTTTCAGGCTAATTTGAAATTGAGTTGCAATTTTAACGTCACGCGGGAGAAAAACGAGTGTAATAGAAAAACTATCCAAGGTATTTTAATCAAATAAATTGCATTTTGTAGAGGATAAACTGTACTTTCTAATGCTGTTAAAATATATTTGATAAAATAATTTTTTAATACCATAATCATCAATCAAAAATTTGCCTAAAAAATTTTCCCAAAAAAATTTAATTTTTTTCAAATCAAAATAACTCAAAAACTAATCAATATTTTTCCACAAAATAAACTTATTCTGAAAGTGCATAAACCAAAGTATCTAACACTGTTTAAACAAATACGAAATCGTTTATCAGTCCCGAGTAATCCATTAAAATGTACGCGTATTGTGCCGATAACATTATTTCATTTTAATTGATAGCAGGCGAGATTAATGCGTGAATTTAGTTTCATCCCTTGTGAGAGCGATCGCAATCGGGTCATACAATCCAGCCGAGGGTTTCTACTTTACGCTTCGCCGCCCCCGGCAAAAATGCGCGCCGAAATTCGACGGAAAGAAAAATCGCCAAGTCGGAAAGAAATTTGTGCGTCGTTTTACATCCAGTCGAATGTGGTGTACGCTCAGGGGTGGCTTTCGGGGGTGGCACCCGAGTAGAGAGGTTTATGCCTCACCTATGGCCCACAGTCACACGTCTCCGTACGGCCAGATGGATATCGCCGCAAAAGAAAAGAAAACACTTCAAACGCTCGCGCGCGTTTGAATTCGCATTCCCGCAAGAATTCAAGAATTTAGAGCTTCAAGGATTCAAGAATTCAAGAATCCTTTTGGGTGGCTTGCTTTTCAAGATAATCTCAAAATAATAAAAAAACTAAAAAAAATGTTTTTAAAGTCTAAAAAAAATAATTTTTTCTATTTATTTAAACACCCTGTATAAAAATACAATGGTTTATCATTTTTTGTCCAGCTGTAACATGCTGCAACAATTAGGCAATGATAAATGATGGTTTCTGGTAGTTTTTGTGCGTATGGTTTTGTTTTCAATTTTCATCCGGGAACATAACCTATCTTGTGAGATGACATGGCCGAACATAAACTGGCAACAGTTCGCTGGTCATTCTAATAGCTTTACAACGCCGACCCGACGGCCGGAAGACCGGAAAACGGGTTGTCAGCGGGTTGGCGGGTTGGCAAAGACGTAAAGTTTCAATCAGCGACGGACGGCTAGTGAAACATCGGCGAAAGGTCACAAAGCTGCCGGCGTGCTAATGACTAATGGCGGACATTAGTCACGCTCCCCGCCAAACCGCAAGCAGGAAGAAAGCAATTTCGTTGTGGTGAAAACTAGAATATAATGCATTTCCACTCTATTTGCTTTTAAAGTGAAATATATCAATAATATTTAAATAATTTTAACTTTTTTGTTTTGTTTGTTTGATTTTTATTTGTAAAAAATCAAAAAATGTTTTTTTTTTGAGTGGGTAACTGGTATTGGTGTGCGGGTAGTGTGTGTAACATGTAAAATAACCTAAACTGTCATTCGCGAAGAAGATTGATATTTCTTTTAGACTATGAGAGTGGAGCTTTTGAATAAAAATGCTTTTTCAACGTCTGGCCGACGTGCGGCGCGGATTGCGCCGGAAATGGGCACGGATTCGACAGATGTGACGCCCTCCCCCTCTAGCCTACTGCCGCCATCGACGTTGAGCGGGTGGACTATCTCGCGGATCCGGAATCCATTAATGCAGATTGATAGGCGATCGATTAATCAATTCACCTGATGTTTTTCTTTCATTTTTTTGTAACGGTTTCAACTTCTCTTTAAAATGCTGAAAATGGATTTTATACTCTGACTTTTCACATACTCGTAGTTTCTGAATAGAATAAGATAAGTTAGAAAAACGTTTTTGATGGAAAATAGTTGATTATGGGAACACCCTGTGTGATAGAGTAAATATTTTTGCAGTTTTGGAAAATAGATTAAATTTGGCATTTAATTATGAAGAAATTTTGTTTTTTGCGTTAATAGTTTTATTGTTATTGACAAGTAAAAAATGAAAAATATTTTTTCACGTTTTAAATTTTTTCAATTTTTTGCATAATTAGTTGCATAAATACATTTTTACAATTATCTTCATTAATTTATTAAATAATTAATCTTGAAAATTATTTTTGCAGCATTTAAACCGATATTTTCAAAAAATTTTCAAAAATCAAAATTTTTTTCAAAAAATCAAAAAATCAACAAAATTTACGAATACAACCCATTTAGCAAATATTTATATCCTCAATGCATCCCTTATTGCTGCATTGGTAAAATACCATCATATTTTACTTCCGGTTACCGGTGCACACACATTCGTACCTCTGCCGGACATTTCGGACATTTGAACCATAACGATAACTCAAAATCGGATTACGTTAAATCGCGCGTTCGCCGCTTTCTCTTTCTGCCCGCGAACTCAATTATTTCGGCAATGGCGCGTATAATAAAACGCGCGCGCGCCCGCCGATAGGGGTAGTCTGCGCGCCGCCCCCGCGCCCCGCACTCCACCTATATTTCATCGAAAACGCGACGTTTTATAGCGGAAACGTGAGGCGCGTTATGCGGGCCGGTAATTATTCCTGCAGCATGCCATCGCAAACATGCCCCTCTGTGCGCGACAGGAAAACATAAACGCTCCGCTGTAAGTTTTTTGTAACCAGTTTTGATTTACAAATTATTTTGCTATTGTTTGGATAAAAGTGCAGAGAAACAAAAAATGGAGATTTTAAAGAGATGAAAGGAGCGGTAATTGATAGTAGAGGGTGTATTGTATGTTTAATTAGTGTTTAATTTAATTAATAAAACGTTTTTTGTAAAAAATAAAAATTTGTTTTGTTATAAAAATATGTGAAATTAAAAGAAAATTGGTTGTTAGTAATTTATTTCGTGTTTTAATTGCAAATTACTGAAAAAATAAATAAAAACAGCAATTTGTAGTTTTTGTATATTTGTAACGCTTTCACGTCAAAATCACCAAACCAATTTTAATAAATTTTGGTGTAAAAATATTTTAAACTATGGAAAATAACATAGGCTACTTTTTGTTTAAAAAGAATAATCACAAAGGTGTAAAATAAGGGATAAAAATTTAAAAAACAAAAATTTCTTATTTTTCCTCTTAATTTCAATAAATTTAATCTATTATTAACTACTAATAAAATAATATATTTTACTTCTTCGTTTGGCGTATTTTATAACCTTAAAACAGCAATAAATTTCAATACGCTGTCATTTTTATATTCTCCTCAATGTCAATTCACAAACCGCGCGCAGCATTAAAGAATAATCCACCAATGTATTTATGTCGTCTGCAATGAATTCGTTCGGACATTTTGAGGAAAAATGAAGTGCCAATGTTTATCCAGTCTCCGGCAACATCCGCGTGCCTAATAAATAATTCCCCGGAAAGCGTCAAGACACACCGGAACGGAGCGTAAAATTCTTACCTTCCACGTAGGAGTGCTTCGGCCTGTAGGCGACGTCTGAAACGAACAAGAATTCGCCATTAATATTGATGGAACAACACAATGCCCTCCATCATCTGGCGGCGAATCTATCAAAAACATCAAAAACATTACATCCGGTAATGTTATACATAGGTTTCGGCCCTACCTGCAACAAATTTCTAAAAAGAAAAAAACTAAGTAATAATAAATGTATAAAGATATAAAACGTATAAAAATATTGAAAGTATAACAGCATCCAGCGATAAAAATATCAAATTATGACGGGAGACGTTTTTGGCTAGGGTGAGGGAGTGGGGGTAAAAGCGTGGGAACGTTTTTGGTCCCCGGCACGTTGAGAAAGAGAGGCGTGAATACCCCTTGGGAGGAATATATCGGCGAGTTCTGTGTGTTGAAATGCTGAACTTTGTGCTATTTTGTGCGGTATAGGCAACCAAACCCACTCGCAAATGTATACTGGGTTACGGACTTTTATTGAACTCGTTTTCAAGCTCTGGAGATTACAAGTTATAACAGTAACATACTCGCAAGGGTCCAGGACAAGATTTTTTTTATCCCAAACACATTTTTTGTTGTTTCAGGATAAAAATACAATAAAAATAATAAAAAAAAAAACATTAAAAATATTTCTCATGTTTCAAGAAGTAGTCTAAAAGTGATTAACAAAAGTCCTAGGAAATCAACTCTTGAACTCGTCGAAAAGGTCCTTTAAGCACTTTCGTAAGACCCAAGGACTAAAATACGAAAAGGACAAAAGTTAAGTCGATAAGTCTCCGGTCTTAATCGACTAGTTACTAGTTGCCAACATCTATCTAATCTAAATTCGTTAGAAAATAAGGATTCGCAACAAGAGTCCTTGTTGCCACACGTTGCGATATGATACGCAACAAGAAGTTATAATGAGTTGTGTTGAGTCTTTGCGCTGCTCATTTAATCTTTGTTTAGTGAAGTATTTTGCCAGGCGGGGCTTTCGTCGGAAAGTTGTTGAAACGTGGATCTCGTAAATAAGGCGCGGCGGGTCTACGCTGAGATTATGGCGCGCGGAAGGATTCGTGAAATATGAATGGCAAAGTTTCGGAGATTAGCGAAAGTTACCTGCCCAGGGTCAGGTCAGAGTTATGAATATGAAAGCGCTAAGTTTTAACTTAAGCAGAGCTTTTAATATGCTTAGGGTTATAATTTCAAGCAATATTGTTGGTAATTTTTATACAGATTTATGAAGAGATAATTATAATTACATTAATAGGAAAATATTATTAACAAAAAAAGTATTTTTTCTGTTTTTTCTTTAAAAAGTTTTTTTTCTGTGGTTTTGAAGTGTAAAAAGTGATATTTTAATCACGGTTGGTTCAGGTCGTGACTAAAGTACTTTAGTCACAGATTTTAGCCACGACATGCATTTTTCTTAATTTTTTATTGAAAAGTATCTTTTTTGGTTTTTTTTTTGAGATTTTTTAACCTTAAATGCCAAAAACTTAAAAAAATAGTTAAAATTTTCTGTTTTCCGTAAAGTTTTTGGCATTTGAGGTTAAAAAACACTCTAAAAACGTTAATTTAAAAAAAATTGTCTTTTAACCTGCAAATTTAAACGAAACGGAGCAAAAAAAAATTTTTTCACTGAAAAAATCAAGTAAAATGCGTGCCGTGGCTAAAGTCCGTGACTAAAGTACTTTAACAACAAAATATACCAAAATAAAAAACATATTTGATTGAGTTTTAGTTAATTTTGTTATTAGTTATTAATTACCCCCTAAATTCCATTACTCTAACCCATGATCCTAGTTTAACTTGTTGTAATCAGACTTGAACTATGTCCCGTGATTCCTGTCGCAAGTTTCCTGCCCCAGGATATAATATATGTCCGACAACGTCGCGCATATTGCTCGAGCCGATCGTCGCCGTGATAAGAATGATCGATGGCCGGCGGACGCTTATTATAACTAGCTCATTATTTACACTGCCGCTTAACCCAGCCACCCCCTGAACGCCTGGAAAATAATGTGTAATTATTGCCTTCCTGTCGCTTTGACACGCGGCGGCTTTGTTCTACCAGCTAGTTAAAAAATTACAACTAACAATGAAGTTTGCTGATTATAGCAAAAGTTTAAATCAAAACGCAATCTTTAATTATAAAATTTATCTTTTTGAGAAGTTTCGAGTTGGAATTTTAAAGCAAAACTCAGTTAATAATTACATTACGATGAATGTTTTGACGAGCACGGAATGTTGGCAAAGTATGCAAATTAATTTAGTTCCGCAGTTAATATATAAGTTCACCAACGTCAAGTTGACTCAAACTATGCAAAATTAATTTAGTCGCAAACGGAATATTTTTCCTGTCCAGTAACGCCATCTACAAAGCAATACAAAAAGTTTTACTAACCTAAAATCATGGCTATTGCCACTTTTAAATTAAAAAGATAAAAATAATTTGTCGTCAGCGATGTGCACGCGTTTCACAGTTATTGCGACATGCTTTCTACGAGTAATTCGAAGTGGCTGGCTACCTCTTACAACCCCTTGAAAACAACCCCTAACTTTTCCGTCACCGTCACAGTCACCGTCATCCCTTTACAGACGCGTTCATTTCAAGCTCGTTGCCCTTCGAGAAGACAACAAACAAGCCAGTGGAGTGCAACATATTTCACCTGAATTATTATACAGGGTGTTAAATAAATAAAAAATTTTTTAGAAAAAAAATTCATGCATTGATAAAATAATTAAAAATAATTATTAGTCAACATACAATTAATGTAGATTAGCACTCCTGACACCAGAATAAAGACGACAATAAGCAGGACGAGTATAAGAATCAAAACACTCGGTTTACAACAGTCTAGCCATCCAGTCGTCTCTTGAGTTGCACTCGTTGAACTTGTCGAATGACACCAGCTACAGCCACACCCACACGCAGTGTTTTCATCCTCTTGTGCGCAATTTCTGTCATTGCGTTCACTATTTTCGTTATACGGCGCTAGTGTCGTGCGTCCGCTTGTATTCACCACCATTTCGGGATAATTCAACGTTGGCACAAACCCGTCCTCGTCGTCCATCTCGTGCACCTCATGGTATACTCCATAGGAGGCGACTAGATTCGCCACCGATTGTCGGCCGTGGTTATTAACACCGCCATATTGTTGATATTGATCCGGCGGTGGTAAATTATTTAGATTGTTTCTGTCAACGTTGTACTTCATTTCCAAGGTGTTTGGTGCGTAAACATTTGATTTGGCAGTGTTTGAAGTTTGATTTGGTAATTGTGGAGGCGCCGGGCTACCGTTGATTAATTTGGCACGCGGGGTTGATATGTTGTTTACGTTAACCACCATTGTGAGAGGAAGACTTTTTTATATGTTTGGTACATTTTAAGGATTATTTAAATTTTTTATTAATAATTTTATAAATTATTTAGAAAAAATGCTTTTAAAGGTTTTTATTTAGTTGAACATACCTGAAACAAGCAAGAAAAATATTATTAGTGTTATTGAGGGATAAAAATATTAATTTATCTTTTATTTAAGTAAATATTCGGATTTTTATGTGAAAAAATCAAAATTTGAAAAAAATAACAAAAATTTGTAAAAAATTTTTTCTGAAAAATGACGCAGTATTCTTTTATTTGCATTGACAATATAAACCGGTGTTGTTAAATATGCTTTATTATTATTTTTATTTTTCATATTCAGCGCTAGTTTTAATTCCTTTTAATCCTTTGTGATTTTTTCCTCTTGTGAATATATTTTTTGTGTTTGCATTTGTAAAAGTGGGAGTTAAAAATTCATCGCCTGGGTGTGATTTTCACGAGACTGGCGTGAATAATGGCCATACACAAACGTGAGCGTATTTTTAATAAATCCACATACGCACGCAATTTATTCTCCCATCAACACAAAACACAAAATTTTGATTTTTTAAATTTTAAACTAAATTATCAAAATTCGCCTGTAAATCATTATTTACTGATAAAAAATTGAATTAGACAATAAAACCGCCGTGGAACAAAAAAATTCCTCCCGCTTAGCGACCGCTTAATCCGCGCTTATCGTGTAGCGTTCCTAATTTATCAGCGCCCCCCGAAATGCTTATCCATTCGGCCGTTGGCGCGTTGATTCGTTTTAATCGAGCGCGCCGAACGCAAACGAACACCGTGTAACACTCGACTACTTGCTGCCCGGGCATCCATTACTCCATTACACCCTCGCCGTCGTTGCTTTTCTGTTAAATGCGCCGAACGCTAAGCCGGCATTAAGAGACTCGCCGAAATAAAGCGAACTGCTGAATCGACGCCATCCCCGAAAACGCATAAAAGTCGCTTGCTCAGGCGGGCCGGGGTGATTTTGTCGCCGCGTCGGATGTTTGCCCATCCTCTCCAGCGTCTGATAGCGGAACGCCGGGTGAACGCCAACCGGAAGTCGTCGTTTTATGCATTATAAACTCAACTCGTTTGGTGCGAGCAGGTGCTTTACCATGCGCCATGCGACAAAGTTCAAACGGACGCCATCTAGGAGTAAGTAGTGGTTGAATAACTTGTCATACGTTATATAAAAGTTTGGTTAAGCTACTTATTATTTCATTTAGGCAGGTATTATTATTTTAATAATTTTATACAGTAAATTGTGATTCAAAATTTTTGGATTTTTTGCTAAAAAAATCTGCAATTTTATTTTAAATTGAGAATAATTCATTGCGCATTCATTTTGTCATGTATAGAGTAATAATTTGTTTTTCTAACCTAACTTTTTCATAACTATATCTCTTCTTGTTTCCACGCAAATCAACATTTTCTACAATTTTCTCCAAATTTTTTTTTTCAAAAAAAATCTGCAATTTTATTTTAAAAAGATCATAATTCACTGCGCATGCGCAGTAGCGCACACAAATTTTCATCATTTATAGAGTAATAATTTGTTTTCCTAACCTGAATTTTTTTCATTTTTATTTCTTCTGGTTTCCATGCAAATCAACATTTTCTACAATTTTCTCAAAATGAGTATGTGAAAATTTATTTTTTTTTTCTG